CGCTTTTATTCTGATTGCAGTTCCCACTCGCGTATCGACTCTGATCTCTACCTCCCGACGACCTCCTGAACAGAATGGCTTCGCATGCGCGGGGATGCTTGCAGACCATACATCCTGCAGAGTCCCAAATGGATGCATCGTAGGATCTCATTGTGTCTTCTAGTACAGTCGTTATGTAACACTTTTTTGCACTGCATTACTAGATGGTCCACCGTCTTCACAAGTTCCCTATAAAATTAGCACGTATCTTTCTCACTTCCAAACATATTTCTATCTTGATGGTAACAATATCGTGCTTCATCTTGGAAGGTAATATTTCCGTATCGTAGCCATATTGATGAATCAACTATGGACAATATTTTATTCTTCCTCATCTTGTATAGCTCTGTATGGTGGGTTTTCTTTTCTATTTTGCAATAAAAGAGCACTATTCATTTAGGTATAGCATTCAAACGTATGGTATACCTATTATTTATATGTTGAATATATGAAATATTTACATGAATGGTAGAATAAAGCTAATTCGAAACCAGGTAATGTTTAAAAGTGAACACTGAGAATGCAGTGAGTCTTTAAAAAATGTAATACCGAAAAAGAGCTGGGTATCCTTTAGATTTGTAGATCTGCCTTAGGCTAGGAGCAGAATAGTTCCAAAATAAAAGAAACCACCTCTTCAGATTATTTGTATCATAGTAATGAAACCCCAAGGAAAGAGTTGCTTCAATCCTGACACCAGAGTTATTTCCGCCGAATTTTTTGGGTCAGAAATAGACACTTTTATGAGGAGTCTAAAATCAGCAATTTGGAAAGCAGGAAGTTGGAACAGGTCGTTCACCTGGTACGACCCAAAATGCCCAAATAGAAAATGACCCAAAATGCGGAAACCCACAAGACCATGACCCACTTTTCAGATCAAATTAACCCCAACAAATACATTTCAAGTACAATATTTTTTACTTTGTTTCTTTTCCTCATGCCTTCAAGTTGACAATTTGTTTTCTAGATTGAATTCAAATTCAAAACAACACTCTTTTCTGCATAAAATTCTCAATCGACTCATTTTTTTCAGCATTTGTTGCATTTTTTGTTGATGAAAAGAAATCACGATTTTTTTCATCTTTCCAGTGTCATCATATTTCTAGAACGTACTTATATGTATTTAAAATCAACTTTCTAAGTTTCCAATCAAAAATTTAGACTTAACGTGGGACTAACTTTAATTTATTCTAAAATTTAATCAAATGTAACAAATAAAATGCAGAATGTGATATAGTTCTGCCTTCACTCGATTTACCAATTAAATACACGAATTATATCATTTAGATAAATATTCAATAATTTTGGACTCACGTTAAAATCTTCGCGATTAATTCTTCTATTTACAGCATGATCATTAAATTATGGATTTATATCTGATTATTGACAAGCCAACCTCAAAGGTTCTTTTTCATTAACCATTTAAAAGTTAAATACTGTATTTTGTTCTACAGCATAAAGTCGCGTTCGGGAACATATACTTTTAAAAAACTTACTTCCCAGATAATAGTTCAAAACTTAAGTATGAAAATGCTGTATCACGTGCAATGTACAAGAAAAAGCATAGTATTTGAGACGTATGAAAGTTTTGGATAACGAAGTTTCTTTCTGTGTCAATCGAAATGATTTACACACATTTTATGAAAAAGATTTTTATTCAAAAATGTTAAAAACTATTAAAACTGTTTAATTTTTGGTAATTTTCATCTAAAATATCACTAAATTTGTGCACAAATATTTTAAACTCGACTGTATTTTGATGTCCAAAATTCAGTTCCCAATACTGCTCTGATGATATTATGATATTTGCACAATTAAATGATCCTATCTAATACAGTCGATTTTCTACTATGATTTTTTATATTCTTAATCAATTAAAAATTAATTACCAATTTTTAAACACATTTCATGTTAACCATCAATTTAAATTTTACATCAAAAAAGTTCTCAGTTTACTAAAAACCTAACGATCAAACTGATATCGCATAATGAAAAAAGTAATCATCGTCCTAAATATTAACCACATGTTTGGTACTGAAGCGAACGTGTGATCTAATTTTGAGATATTTATCTCAGCGCAAAATTTGTCGAAAACTTCTTTATGTGTGCTGTACTGCTTTCAAGTCTAGTTGACGTCAGCGGTGGTTCTGAAATCGGAAATTGAAAAGACTTAATCATTAATACTGAAAATTTGGTAGTACGACAGTGCTTGTTGACCTTGTTGACAAAAATGACAAATACTCGATGTTAATTTATTATAATCAGACTTTAGTCATATAATGATGAAGTTTTAAATCAGAAAAACGTATAATAGAAGTCTTTCAAAATGAATTCTTATCAATAAGTTTTAAATAAGTGATTTAGTTAGAAAACATAAAATTTTTAAATAGTCTTATGATGGGAAGTAATCATTAAATAGTTAAAAATAATCATTAAATGGTTAAAAATCAGTACTTTACAGGATGGGAATCACATAACTTAGAGATCAACCTGATCAGACTGAGCTGGTCATCTGCTTAAAATGATGAAAACTTTCAATTTTGCAGTACTTAAGTATGTTACCTTTGTAATATCGAGTATATTTGGATAATCGAAGATAAAGAAAAAAAGTAATGATGAATAAGGTGGCAGAAATTGATCCCAAACAACTTATTAGAATAAGTAATCCCTGTCGACTAATAGCACAATTGATCTTTGTTGTCACTGCTGAAAAATAACAATCAAATCTATATGTTTTCAGTATTATGATTCTGTGAATCCTCCAAATTGACCTTAGCACTCTAAACTAATTAAGTTCTGCTTATGTGAATGATATGTTGCAATAGTTTTACAATATAATTTCTAATAACAGGATTGATTTCGTGAATTACTGTTTAGTACTAATCGGTGAATTGCTATCAGTTAATGCACATTATTTATCTAACTATTAAAATTGCTATGAGTGAATTGCTGCTATATGCTCACGCGAGTTGTCATCAAATATTTGCTGAAGTAACACGTGAAGAATATTTAGTTTGAATATTAAATTGAATCATAATTAGTCATAATCGGTAACTTATGTAATTCATCGCAGTGTTAATCCAATGATGATTAAATTGAAAATAAAACAAAATCATACCTTCCTTTCTGTATAATTCAGAAGCAGTAGGTGATTCTTCATCCAAATCATAAATTATTAATTGGCCAGCAATCAAGGGCGCAGTAGTCTGGGTATAAACTTGTTTTGAATCTGTGTAATACTGATCAGGTTTTGCTTTTGAACTTATTGATAATATGTTGTCAGTTTGAATTTGAGGTTGCAAAAAAGTTTCAGATAATGGCTGATCAGACAAACGAGATGAACCCCAAGAGACCTTCAAAGTAAAACTGTTAGTTAGGACTACTTGTGAATCCATCTCTAAACTCTTGATTTTTAAAATTGCCCTAAAATGAGGCAGGCAATCATATATTAATATGAATTATTATGCTTCCAGTATGGCAAGAAGAACTTAGTCCTTATAATTTCTAGTAGCAAAGTGTGTCAAATATGTTAAAAAAAGCAAATATCAAAAGCTTTAATTTTAAAATAGAATTCCCGTCACCATGAAAGTAATGACTTCCAGATGTTTGAAGCTCATTCTGATGACAGTATCCTGAATTAAAATTCGTAACTTAAAGTCAAAATACCTGTACTGATTTTAGTTTATCACCAAAATTATTGTTTGTCATTACATCAGTAAACTTTTTCCTTGCATCTGCTTTACTTCCTTGAGTTTGCTTGTCTCTAGCCTGTAATTTCAAATTTAAATTCATCAATCACAAAACGAGGATAGAAAACCATCAAACACATAATTATTCATAAAGTTAAGCAAAAAGTAAACTCGAAATATATGTATCTATACTTTATTCATTTTTAAATTAGAATTTCGCATGAGTGCGCGACGATCTTGAACTGAATCATAAAAAATTCTTTGCAGTGAGTCAGCATTCATACCATCCGGTAAATTAGCTAGCAAATCATTCAGATTTAATGGAATGGTTGTAACATCACCAGCATTTTCTTGGTATACTTCTAAAATTGATCAAAATAAATAAATATATTCAAATTCCAAGCTATTCATATTTTGATTAAAATTAAACGAAAAAACTATACTTCCACAGTGGATATTATTTATTTCTGACAAGCACAGTGCTAATTGTTTGCGAACTTTTTCTCAGTTGATCGAATTCTTAACTTTACTCACTTGTTAATAAATTTAATTTTGGACTATTTTCAACTGCTCACTTATCAAGACTAATTTTTCATCTATTTATTTTTAAAAATAAATTTCTTTAAACAGATGTGCTAATTTTCATTTTTGCTTATTTTATGTCGGATTTATTCAACAAAAATTTCTACTAGCAAGAAAAATATCAACATGAAGAAAAAGAAATGAATTTATAGAAAACATAAATTATAATCATTGGATTTCTCAAGTATAAATTCAGTTTCGACTTTTATATGTATCAAAAATTGCAATCATTTTGGTATTTGTGAAAATTACTTTGCTCTACCGATTTTTCCACCTCTCTGCTGTCAGTTTTTTGCTCACTGTCATATTCGTCTGTGTCCGAAGTCAATATTTCAAGTACCTAAAAGTTCAATGTGATTATTTGAAGTTGACAAGTACTGTAATAGTATAATGGCAAGAATTTACACTTGGATAGTTCGTAAGTAATTAGTGCTGTTTGCATATACAATTTGAAAGAGAATTATTTCAAAAAAATTATGAGAAATAGTTAATCACTATGAATTTTAACTTTATTTTTGTCATGCAAAAAACATTTGATCTAAAATCGCTACGAAAATTCTGTATAAATAAATCAAAAATAATTTTTTTACAAAATTAAAAATCAATCTGGGAAAATTTAAATAAATAAACTGATACAAGCAGCTTACAGGTTTCGTAGTCAGTATGACTGAAGCTTGGGTCCTACTTATCCATGAATCTTCTTTGGAATGATGTACCATCGTGGTTGACTCTTCATTGTTATAGGTTACTTGACTCTCGACTATTCTTGTACTCTCATGTTGGCTGAACACCATTAATTCATTATTCTTACACAGTTGTTGTGTATTTATTTACTCTTTATTCGCAATTTTTGGTAGGTGAAGTCGGTATTTAAATTCCATTAGCATCACTGACCAAGAAAAAAATGTTGCTAGATTCTGTGAAATCTTTGCGCAAACGTAAAAATCACTTTACAAACTTGCAAGTAATTAAATAAATAAGAATATTGATTAAAAATCGTCAGTTTATTCATGCGTTTATCACAATGTTGTCATTTCCATTAATTTTATTTAGATTTATAACTTTTTATTATTACTTGTCTTTTGCATCAAAATATTCGTTTTTGGTAGGTGCCATTTCATATTCTGACATTACTGCTTCTAACTTCTGCTGTTTCAATTTTTCGTTAATTGATGGCTGGGCTGTTACCATCACTACATCAGATGCTCTGGTCTCATCTGATATGTCTGTCCATTCTGGATCCGGAAGAAAATTCGTTGTTCCGGTTTTTTTTGTTGATGAGCAAGTGGGTGGCTAAACAGTACTTTTCATCTCTTTTCACTTGAACTTATTGTGAAAAATATGCATGAATTTATTTCCAAAAATTTGTGTAGACTAATTTTAAAGAATAATTGCTAAATATGCTCAAATCTATGACTGATAAAAATTAATTTCAATTACCGTAATTCCATTACACATGCCGGCTTTCTTCATACACATTTGAATTTGACAAAAAAACCAAACGCCAGGTCGATCAGCAAATTTAAATACCATACTTTCTCCATATGCTCGTTGCAAATCAGCTGAGTATCGTATACCCGTGATCAAAATTGGATCGATTGAACAGCTGTGCAATTATTCATCTTTTATTCATCATTGTGGGTTTAATTTAATGTCAAAGCTCGAAATTATTTTTAATTCTGAGCTTAAATTAGTTTGAATCAATTTTTTTGGTTTGAATTCTGCAGTTAAACAAAAACCCGTTTGAATCGATCACTTCAGCACGTTTGCTGAAACCATCCGTCACGTAACAGTTGTTAATGAGTATGCCAAACATTTCTGCAAATTTACATATTATCAGATAACAAATCCAACGCATGTTTTTGAATTTTGGGTGAAAAATTATTTTTGTGCAGTGATGAGCAAACACAGTGTGCTATTGATTTTTCAGCAATCTTTACTTACTTTATCTGATAAGTAAGCATTAAGTTCAAGAACTCTCAAATGACTACTTAAAATGCGTGACTGAATATTTTGTGGAATTTAAAAATCTTAAAAAAGTTTTGTAGTAATATTAAGCAAATATCATTCATATATGTATAAATAATTTCTTGGGACTATTGTGTTGATTATTAAATTATTGCGCAAAATATCCCTCAAAATTGAAAAGGTCATGTTTACATTAAACAGTACTCATAAAAAGCATTCGGTCAAGTATAATGATTGTTATACTTTTATGAGGATAAAAAAAGGACGTAGCTAAAATTATTATAGAAATTAGTGAATGTCAAAAATATAGTTTAGTAGATATTTGATATTGATAAAACCAAAGTTAAAATATAAATACTGTGAATTAAGAGTTAGGATAATAATAAGTAAATAGTATGAAAAAAGGCGACAACTGCTGATAATATTACAAAAGGATTACTGTAATAGTAATTTAGGAAACAAAAATAATGGAACTATGCTTACCATCATCACAATGCCACTGATGGAGCACTCGATCTCCTACACGAGCATATTTAATCAGAGGTCCTGCAGGTCTACCAGCATCCAAATCATCGATGCTGCTTGCATGGATACTGTATGAGCAGCCTGGGATGGCATGACGTGCCTCCACTTCTGTTGTCGCTATCATACTGTAATGAGATCAATCACGTAACGAAATCAATCATGCGCTAAGTGTAAGGCAACACATTTTTGATGTAACATCTATTTGCATCGTTCAGTTAAATTCCGAAAAAATCAATAAAGTGTTTTTTATTTAGCATTGCTGCAAAAATTAGAGGAAGGCAAAAGCAAATATATACAGTCCCTTGTAAAAAATATAAAAATTCTCAAGGATATAATTCATACAGAACTTAAAGTGAATTCCGCACTTTTCGATTACTGAACTCAATATGTGCAAAAAGAATATCTAATTTTTCTTTGATTTTCAAAACTTTATCATATTACATTAGTTATTCAATTTTTTAGAACATCTTATTTCAGAAAAGAAAGAATCACAATTACTTCTAAAAGTATAATGTAAACAACGAAAAGAGCAAATAATAATCGTAGTAGTAATAACAGTAACAATAATAATACTAATAATGATCCTGATAATAACAGTGATGATTTGACTTGGAAAAGTATCTGGAATATGGCCTACATAGTAATACATCATTTTTTTATCTGCTTGATGGCCTACTTTTCCACATTTATGCATAATAACTATTGACCAAATCACTGAATAAACGACATAATTGCATTTTTGGACGAAATTACAATTTAATTATTCCACTTCTATTCAAAGTTTTTGTATTTCTTTACAAGGATGAATGGAAAAGTTATGATCAGAATGAGTTAGTAAAATAGAATGAAATTAATATGAAGCAGAAAAAGGCATATAGATGACCTGACTTAATTGTTGTATTACAAAAGAAATAATTATAGTACAGTTTACCTTACTCCGAGTGCAGCTGTAAGTCCACGACTCGCTTCTTCGAAAAAGCATTTTACGTGAAATGCCTGATCTACTTTTGTGATAAAAATCTGCAATTTATCGTTATTTATTTTTAACTTTGTTCATTGCTTTCGTTATCACTGTCTTTAATTAAAGTAATTAATAACAATTTTTAAAATAAACATAGCATAAAACCTGAAATGCGACTTGAACTATTTGTTATAAATCTTAAAAGATCTCCAAGAAATTTCAACACCCTAGTAATTTACAAAAGAAAAACAAAACTGTATGAAATGAAATAACCACTGTAACGCCATAATACATTCCACGTGGATCAACCTGAAGACGCATTTCATTGAAGGAACAAAGTGCTATCTCTTTCAATATTTAGAATGTTAATGAAGTGATTGATTTTGTATTGATCGTTTTAGAGATTAAATCTTATCAATGCTGTAAAGTTTCTGTAGATTCAGAGAGATGTAATTCACGAATGAATATGTGAAAATGCAAAAAAAAGTGCATTCAAATATTTTTCTCTTCAAGTTAATTAGCAATAAAACTTTATTTTCATCACATAAAATTATAAATACAGTTTTACTTTCTTTACTTATTATGCAAGTTGAATCAGCATGTGCATAATTTGCATACAACTTACGGATCGCAAGCTCTTCATTCCACAGGTACCAAACTGCAAAACCATATGTGGTTTCTTAGTGCGTTCTTGAGCGAAATCATCTTTGGAGCAGGCTGGAGTATCCGCTTTACCTTTCGCATAAATTCGACCTGTTGAAAATAAATTTAGTTATCATAAAAATGTCAAAAACAAGCATCTTTTGGAGGTTTTTTGACACGGTGAAAATTTTTAAAGCTGCTTTATTTCCGTACATGTTATGACAAGTTTCTATCCCAAGTGCTCTTTCTTTTTCATTTCTCTGAATTTAGAGTCTACTTGAAGTAGTTTCCTTGCAGCATGATTTCCAATCTGCATTTTTTTGACATTGCATTAGATTGCAGTCCTAATCTCTATCATATTGAAAACCATAGTATAATATTCACTAATTAATGCAGTCTAGAAAGTGAGTGAGTGAATATCACAGTTTCCAATAGAAGGTGGAAGTCGAAAACAATTTTTATGTAAAAATTAGCTTAATTCCTGGAAAAATTGCTCATAAAGAAGTCGGAAACATAATTTCTTAAAAAAGCTGAGAGCAAAGATTTCAAATATATACCAAACACAAAACATATCATTAAGATTAAGTGTAAAGATAAGTAATAGTGAAATTTAGCATTACCATTGAATATTTTACGAGTTTTAACAAAAATACGGATTTCTTCATCAAGACACTCTATGTCGGGATCACCAATAATATCATTATCAATAGCTATTGATGATACGTACTCAATCATTATCAGCATTATCTAAATAAATCAGTATTACTAGATATTAAAATGTATTACTATATTACAAGCTCACATGCATCTTCCTAATTTTGATAATTTTAGATAAACATTATAAAATCAAAAAATAAATTAATTAAAATGGGAAACTAAATTAGAAAACTTTTGCAAGACAAACTCTTCATAGTCTCATTTGACCCTTGACTCTAGAATAAATGACTGCATATTACGTTATAATGTAGTAATTTATATAATGGACAGTAACAACTGCAGCATCTTGCATAAATTTTGTTACAATGACCAGATATTGGGCCAGAATAAAAAAGTGTTTTGCTTGAGGCGCCCAATACAATACTAAATCAAAATTAATCGTTAAAAAACTATAACATACAAAAAATTAATCTGTGCGATGAAAAATAATCTCTAAATTTAATGTTACGTCGTAACTTTTAATAACAAATACATAAGTGTAAGCTAATTAGAGATGTTGCGTAACGCCGAACTATTTTATTCCACCTGAATATTTAAGAATAATTAATTATTGAGAATAGAAGTCGAGAAAGGTTGTTGCGTAAGCTATTTTGATTTATTTAACAAAACAGCCATACTATTGATAACATTCTTGTGGAAGCGAGAAGTAACATAGCCGTGCGTATTCATATATCACAATTGGGATTGCCTTCCTTTTTTATTGCTTTGCTTTGTTTCCAATATTATTATTGCTACTATCAATAATTTTCTGAAATATACGCACTTTAAACTACTATTTCCAGAACTGTTGTCATATATACTGAAAACGACAAGTAATCTTAAAGATGAAATATTCTGATTGCGGTGCACAAAAAGGACTGAAAAATTATGGCAGTTACAGTAATTACCATAGCAAAAAACAATTGCAACACCTGTGCTTACTACTAATATTATTACTAACATTGATAATAATAATAATAATAATAATAATAATAATAATGGGGATAAAAATAAGAGGAAAAAAGTGATTAAAATATAAAAGTTTATTGTTATAATTATTATTATTACAAGTATTATTAATTTTATTCTTAATAATTTTTTCAAAAGTATATTTAACCACTCAAAATTTAATATGAGAAGAATAAAAAGTTTTGATAGGTTTTTTTTTGTGTAGTAATTTTGGTAGATAAAGATACTTGAAAATGTAAAAATGTACTTTAAAAATTAGTCCAGTTATAGCTGTAAGGATCGTTTACTGCATGCTAATTTTAGTAACATCCAAATTTTTGTCACTATAGCTGTTTTACATTGATATCACTTTTTCCATTACTGCGATTATTTTTGGATTATTTTTTTCCATAACTATTTTTGGTTATTTTTGGATATTATTTATTGCTGTAGAGATGAAAATGCTCGTGCTGCCAAGAAACAAATGAATAAAAGTTAATTGTTAACATATATTTGCAATTGTCAGGATAATAATGAATAAAAATGTAAGTCATTGATTAGATAAAAATTTTAGAAATATTCAGAGAGAAATCGAAATTTGTAGTAAGGCGATAAAAGTGCTCCTGAAGGAATAAGAATAGGATTCTCATTTTCCTGGAAGACATCAACCACTCCCTTCATCCTACTTTGGTATCCGAAATTTTACTCACAAACAAACTTTTACTGATGTCGCAGTTCATATAATTATATATCGTCCACCGAGTGTTATTTTCACACTATCTTTTCAGGCACGATAAATTTGGGGCAATTTTTTCTTCTTGCTTATTCATTTCAGTATCTTTGATGTTTCGTATGCTTGAACAAATCTGCTCATCCTCTTATTACTCTTTCAATGCTTTTAATAGACTTATAATTTTCTTAGATTGTCACTGACAATCAAAATATTTATGTGCTTGCCTTTTCGAAATGTGTTTTAAATGTATACTACAAAATATTAAAATGTTGATTGAATATTGAATCTTTCAAAAAATGCTTGCAACAAAAAAATATACATTGATAAGTACAATAATTATGCAAAGAATACTCAGCACAACTTTTTCAGTTTTATTTTCCAAGCATTCTTCTTCTGAAATCTATCATCTAGCCAAGTTTGACAACTCAAAATGAATAACTTGACAACTTTATTAGTTATACAAACTGATTGATATAACAAAAATGAAATCTTTGAGATTTGTCGCAATGTTTTCGATTGAAAAAATAAACAAGAAAAGCAATGACAAAAACCACAGAAAATAATCAGAAAGTAAGCCAAAATAGGAAGATGGCTGATTTTCCATGTTGGAATCGTTCACGAGTTGGAATTTGACTGCATCAATCTTTGCCTTAATGATAAAATGATAGTCATAGTTATCGAAAGCTATAAGAAATATTAATACACACAACTTTTATCAAATATGCGACTAAGAAAATAACTCAGATTAAACATAGCACAGCGCAATAATTTAGAAGAAATTGTAAAAAAGGCATTTTTTGAAAAATACTTCGTGTAATCGCATGAAAAAATTTTTTGGCAGGCATCGCTCAAAAATGGACGTAACAATAAATTATGTTCTGATTTATATCGCAGATGAAAATGAATGATCAACATGATAACTAAATTGCATGTAATCAACTATTTGGATTTACTGTAACATAAAACATACTTCTGGAATTAAAATTAAGAAAAAAAGAAAAGAAATGAGTAAGCGTACCTGCCTGCTTTGCGATAAGCAAATTCACCAAATCTCCGAACAGCGTAACAAAATGATCTTCCATTCTTCTTTGAACAAAGTTTATTTAATCTTGTGGCAATCTACAATTTTTGATCTTATTGATGACAGAGTAGATCAGTTGACAGAGTAGATAATGTACATATTAATAATCACGATAAATATAAGTGCAGATGAAAACTAAAGCGTGGAATTTAAATAACAGTAACATTGTTTGCTAAAAACAATGAAAATAAATACAGAAAAAATTTAGTGCCAAGTAACTTACGCGAAGACAGGTGCAAAAGTTATCATCACAGAATTTTCTCCCTTTCTGCTCAAAATAACACAAGTCGTGACTCAAACAACAGTTGTTAATATGTCCTAAATTTTGCAAAAAGTTGAAATTTAAGCTTCATGGGCATAAATCTCTCGATTAGATTTAAACTTTCATACAGATCTGTGTACTGATGGCGATAATTAATAATGAATACAACCTATGATAGCGGAAATATCTATCATTTTAAACAAATGTTTACAAAGGTGAATTTTCTTAATGCTCAGTAGAGCCCGTATTATCAAGAGTTGGGCAATTTTTTGTTTAAGCAATATGCTTTCATGCATTTTGATAAATTTTTAATCGTATAATAATAAAAACAATGCGAGTACTAATAATGAAAAAGTATATTCATTGTGATACGTTCACATTCATCAAATTATGCTTATGAAAATCCATGCTGGTCGCATTGCTAGCAAATTCAAATCTTTTCAGAAGACTGAAAAATAGTCAAAATTTTCAGTCATTGTTCTTCAATTCGAAAATAATACGCGTGCACTGTTGAGCAGATCGATTTTTCTAACAAATCACTAAATCAAGCACAAACCACGCCTTCTGAATTTTGAATAACAAAAAGCTTAGAAAATTTAATTCGATTCCGCCTTTAGGAAATAGAAAAACTTTGGTTGAAAACTGTAGTAAAACAAACTTGTCAGATGTGGACAGTTCGTTTCGATCGACCATTTGCTGATGAATTTCGTGAAATTATCCGTGCCGCATTCCCACGTAACTTCTTCATTAATGCTATCACCACTGTCCCTACGATCATTACCTCAAATTTATTTATATCACTGTTTAATTACAAAAACAAACAACATGACTTCTAACCCCAATAGATACAAAAAGATACTTGATAATTAAGCTTTCAATTTAAGCAAGCTTCGGCATTATTAATAATTGGAAATATTTTTCTAAATTAACATATTAAGCACCGGAAATAATATGCCCTCATACTACAACACAAGAAACGACATGATGGTGGAACTGATATCTGATAAATAATTAGAACTGAGCTTACTAAGTTCAGAAACTTCTTCAGCTAGTTTGGGAGAGAGAGTCTTTGCCTGAAAGCTATTTTGATCCAATAACCTTGGTCTGATCGAAATGGACTCATTTCTGGCAAAAGTCACTGCCGAAAATATACTAACAAACAACAAGTTTATAACTGATTGTTCATACATTAGTCTATGCTTGAGTTTTTTCTGACTGAATATGATCTGAAAAAACGCTAGTTTTGTCTAAACAATATCAGCCATATTACAGTTATTGACTAAATGAGCTAAATAACATTTATCGTTTATCAATTTTTCTCCATATTAATACAATAACTCAAAAGTCGCTTTTGTTATTCTCAAAAATTGAGGATTGACGATTATATTTTTAACAGCGGAATATCGTGCAAAAGCCCAATTTTAGATTGAATCATATAAAAACAGCAAAAATCGAAAATGAAGAAAATATTTCAAGCTATCAATTCAAACAAATTTACGGATCCATTAGTTTACTCAAACAGAACTGCTGACTAAAATCAAGTTAATTAAAAATCATTTATTAGTTAAGTGCAAATACAAGTTATTAATTTAAAGTACTTTATGTTGTAGGCAACAAATTAATAACAATAAATTTACACGTGACATAAAAACAATTTATCATTGAGTATAGGTAAAAACTCCTCAGTCTTTTATGTTTTTAACAATTCATTATTAAATTTTAAATAAAATTGAGATGATTTGGATAAATGAAGGCAAAAGGTGAAGATGAAGTTATTGTATTTGAGTGATTTTTGCATAGAACACTATTTTCTATATATTTTAAACTTAATTGCTTCTCATTACTTAAAAATAGATTAAAATTTGAATTAATAATAACAGTTTACTGGCAATAATTTTTATTACTAAAATTTCTTGGCAACAAATTTAATTCTGATAAGTTGCAAATAGTACTCCTATTTAAGCACGTGGATTACAACATGAAAATTCATTAAATCATTTAAAGTAGCAGTAATGAAGTTTTTCACTTTCTCCACTGCGCACTAAAATCTTCTCCTTCGATAACTTTTTAGGAAAAATTCAAGTGAATCAAATCAGTTTAGAAAGTAGAACGTTGGAGAATGTTTTGCACTTTTTTAGATCAAAAACGCTCTCTAACCTTTCAGTAGTAAGAAGCATTTGATGACAGTGATGTAATTAACGAATTTTCAGTCACAAAAACTTGATTTTTCCCTATTACACACTGCTGCCTTAACGCTTTTCCAAAAATTTTTCCGTAAATATTGAAATTCTCATAGATATTCTGAGCAACGCAGATTTCTTTGAGGGACAGCATGACTGATTAATTCAATTAATACTTGATGAATCGCTTCTTAGTGACTACTATTAATGTCAGCAACAAGCACTGCTAGGAACCCAGAAAGCATGAAAAAAAGTAAATGTAGTGCTGTAGAAACAAACAGGCACTATCACTTTGACTCAGTTACTCTGATCCTTGATCACTTTGTTAGTTAATCATATGCATAGACTATAAAAATCAACCAAAGTATAACACCAATAAACAAAGGCGATTCAGCAACAAACAATTAGTTATTCTATTTATCTTTTGATGAGAACAGTAATTTGTGTCTAAAATTATTTGTATGCTACCTACTAACAAATATGGTGTAAAAAAACGAAGACAAAGAATCAGTGAGAACTAATCTGAAAACCGGCCTCCAAAAAAAGTAATTAATTCATCATAATTGCATATATGCTGCATACTTCAATTGAGCAATTATCAGAAAAATGAAGTGAAAAGAAACCTTTCCACTCTAAAACGCACCTGAAATTGACAATGACTCCTCGATGCCTTTCCCAGCGATAGGTAGAAAATGTATAGAACACCCGTACCATGTATTCAAGAACAGACCACACTGTTAGCTTACTTGATTAGAATCACTTCACTCAACCCCTATCTATCATCGTTAAAGAATTGCAGCAAAAACCTAGTCCTTACAAATTTCGCTCTACCATGACATCTACAATACTACTGACCACTTCATAGCTTTGCGACGAATAACTCATCTCCTACCTCACCATTAAGAAAGAGTTGAGCGAACCTTAAACTTCCCAGTAAATCCCGTTTTGACTATAAATTTAGATGTATTCTGAAAATTACAAAAAACTCTGGAGTATTACTATGAAATGGATAAGATTTGCATAGCATTTAAAACTGATACAGAAGTTATAGGTGTTTCAATTTTTTTCAACACAGTTCGTCCTTCCATTTTTTTTATTGAACAGAACAATTTAACGATTAAACTTCTATTTAATTATCAACAATTATTATAAAACATAGAGAGAATGCAACATTGACGCTAATTCTTCGTTCACCGGATGACGCCCTGCTAGCTGTCTAAGTTCTGAAAGAGAAAACTTTGAAATGCAGCTTCCTGATGAAAAACTTGATAGAATCCCAAACTAATTTACCAGAACAAAAGCTAATCTACTTAGAAAAGTGTAACTTTAAAAGTTTGGAAAGACACTCTAAATACTCTTTCTTATAGAACGGACTTGTTAAGTTGGGAAATTCATTCACTCTTTGAACTTTTTTCATGTTTACTGAACTGCTAATAATACTTATTATTTTGTTATAATCATTTTCAATTGTCAGTGAATCAGCCAAATGAAACTGTCTTCAATAGAATAAATACTGAACAGAGTTAAATCTTTGCCGTAGTTTACTCTGAATAGGAATGACTGAATGGAACTTATCAAATTAATAACAATAACTTCTAATTTTTTTTAATGCTTACTGATCGCAATTTTCAATGTACGAAATTGTAATTCATCTAATTTGAAGGCACTTTCCATTTTTTAACCACTTATACAACATCAGTTTATTAACCTCATTATGAATCTATCTCATGCACTAGACTTGCAACAACGAGAAAAATATGTCTGCACACTGAATTCAATTTAAATACTATTCAAGAAGAACAAATATTTGCTTTTTTTTCATTCATTTTATCATATTTTTGTAAATAAATTGTACCCATCATAAATTCAGCAAATAGAGCAAAGACGTTGAAACCTACTCTCTTTTGCAGTTTCATCCAAAAACATTACAGCAATTTCGAATCTCGAAACTCCAGCAAGTTGAACTAAACTTTCTAGCAGGTAATAAATATTGGAATTATTGGCCAGCATATCGTAACCAGTAATTATACACTCAATCATTTCTGTTTCGATTACATCATCCAGCACATCTTTATGTTTCTCTTGATCGATAGACTGAATGCAGGTAACAAAAAGTTAAATTTTTGTAATGGTCCGGATTAAAAATCAGTGCATTGCTATAAATACTCAAAAAAATTTTTCTGAATCTCATATGTCCAATTCCAAATAAAGTGCTTCCTCCAATAAATAAAAATAAAGGAAGCAATTAAAAAAAAAAAACGAAAAGAGGAAAAGTGCAACGTTATTTAGCGAAATAATAAGTGTAATACATTTGAATTCATTAAAAAAAACTGATTTAAAAAATGAGAAAGTGAAAAAAAAGACTCACTAAAAAATATTCTGCGAACGATACTGGTTTATATTTAAGCGTTTGAAAGTCTGAAATAAAGTTGAATGACGTCGCTGGAGGAGGTGGAATTAGTGGTACTGATGGTTCGTCCTAGAAATAAAAATTGACATTAAATCTAAGAACAAAAAAAGCTGCATTTAATAAAAACAAAATAAATATTCACTGCAGTATTTATATTTCATTACTGTCTCATATTTACTAACAATTTATAAAATAAAAATTTACAAGGCCAAATTTGGAGCTATTAAAACTGATAATAATCTTCCATCACTTCCTACTAATTTATGGAAACAAGAAATGATTCTTAAAAAGAACCCGAATTCACGATTTATAAAATCTGTTCAATTCAGAGAAGGATTTAAATATTTAAAAAACTGAAACATTAGCCACTTCAAGAACATATGTATCCGTTTTTGATGACTGTTCCGCTGATTCCATTGCTATCACTTCAATATTTTTTATTTCCATTAATGGCATTTTCGATCGAAGGAATTCATCTTTTTCACCACAGAACAGTCTCACTTCTTCACAGTTTACCTATAAGGTTAGTGTATAAAGGGATGACATAAAGTAAAAAGAAACTTGTAACTGGGTGAAGTTACATCAAATCAAATTGATGTTATATTACCGCTATATATCCGCAGCAGTAAAGCAGCATTAATATTGCATCAAATTTCCTTAAAATTGAAGTTATATCAGTATGACAGAAGTATGCACCACAATCTTTTAAAATTATGTAAAAATAGCAAATGCTTCAGAAACGAGAAAAAATTTATAATAATTTGGATGAAAAAATTTTTCTGACAAGCAACATGGTTTCATGAAAATCAACGCAAAAATCAACTTTTCCTTGAACAGATCGTTTTAATTCTGCAACTTCTTTATTTTTTTGATTAGTTGGATTGATCTTCGATAGTTTATCAGCTGCCACTTCATGCAAGCCCAAATTTTCTAGTGCTTTGGCATACCTCAACAAAGTCTTAAGTTTGAGAATTGATTTACTGTAAAAAAGTAATGCAACATTAATATTATTTTAAAAATCAAAAAAAAAAATAACATTAATAAAGTGATATCAATAGAAATAATAGAAGTATAAACCAAAATCTTTCGAAAGTAAAAATAAATCGAAAATTAGTGTTATTGAAAATAAAAGTACAAGGACTTGATGACGATCATAAAATTACAGTAGATGAAATCAATTCGACTAAATTTTACCATTCATCAATTTAAGCTACAGAGACATCAATGCTAGCATCAATCATTAACATTTTTTAGTCCAGTTTCTTGCATGTCACAAATTCAAGTCTTAACAAGAAACTGGCGGCAATAATCTGTTTGTAAAGACTGTATGAAATAATAATAACAGAAGTATGCACCACAATTTCGAATTACACAAATTACATAGATTGATGAAAATGTTCTCTTCTTATTGATAGGAACATAATCTCTAGACTTAATGATTATTTTCGATTACTGATCACATTTGTTTTATGTTTTGTTAAATAGGAATCCTCATTCAAGCTATGTTTAATAACACAAAGAGCGTTTAAAAAATTGGAAACGAAGTTGATCGCAATTTGTTATCTTGAAGTATCACACAAATGGCTTCTTTCTTTCTTAAAAACTTATTCCCACATATAGAATTCAATAATGTTATTTCTTCAAAATGCTTGCACCTAATGTTTGTTGCGCTAAGAATTTTTTAAACTGTTTTAATCGAACGTCCGACTACGCAGATAATGCGACCGATTTCGTTCCAAATTTTTTAAAAATGTTGAGATGAGGAACGCTTACAATAATTGGTTACAACGTGTTAACATGTAAATCTTATATAAACTTTAAACCCTTACCTAAACAATGCTTTAATATTGTTTGCATCCAATTCTATGGCTCTCGCAGCATCTATCAATGCTCGTTCATATCTGCAATAAAAATTTGATTTCTTTGATTCATTGTTAGTTGTGAAGTTGCTTGAAAAAACATTAGCAATTATTCCTTGAATGATATAAAGCAAGTTAATTTCAAAAAACATCATTTGAGGAGGAATAATTAGTTAATTAAAAATTTAGGAAGAACCAAAACATGTAGAAGAAATAATTACTATACTTCATTCCACTAAACACTAGATAATTTTTTTTTTGTTTCAGTAGGACTTCAGAATACCACATTGCTTCAGCTTCATTACAAATTAATCTCTTTATATAATTACATCTTTCGATGCTATAGCATTATCATAATAATTTTGTATTGTTTAGTGGAATGAAATGTAGTCATGATCACTAACTCCCTCGAATGCAGTGTACGCAATGAAATAAAAAATAGTTACTATTTTTCTAAACTTGAATACATCTTCATTAAATCGTAAAAGGAAAGCATCTTTTCTAAATCTTCGTCGCAAATTTCATGAAAATTCAAAAATAGTTTCTAAAGGTTCAACGTAAACCAACTGGCGTATATTTAGATAAGCTTGAGCTCTGTTTGCAAGCACTTGGGATGTTTCTTGACAGTCCAGAGATTTCGTGTAACTCAAGATCGCATTGTGGTAACGAAATGAGCGAAAGTGTTCATTGCCTTCAGTGCGATACCGATTAGCTTCTGTTACCGAAGACTGAATATCTGCCATGTCAACAAACCAAATTTCTTTGAACTGTGCATCAAATATTAAAAAATTAAAGACCAGTAATTTAAATTTGTTACGAATAATCAAAATAATTTTTTTCATAAGAACTGCTAAAAAATCTCTATCAGAAAATATAGCCGCAAATTTGATAAGACAGCAGCATTCACTTCACAATCACATACACTCAGATCACGCCAAAAATTTGCTGCTCCATTCTTGCAGTAACTTAACAGCAGCTACCAGTATTTGGAAGTCAGCCTTACCTACCAAATTTAGTCTATGTAACAACTGGACGAAAAAGTTCTAAATTTACGAGACAAAATATTAGTACTCTGAACAAATTAATAAAAATGATGAAAATCCCAAGATTCACTATGTTAACCTCTTTATAATTAGTGCGAAAAAACAAAAATAAATAACATTTGAGAAATGAAAGCCCCATTAGTGATAGCAATGAAGACCAAATAAGATATACTCAGCAAAATTACATTCATATCAATCAGGATGAATCTTTTGGAGAAAATATCTCGTTTATCAATTACTGATTACTTCACTGATCAAAATCATTGTGATATACAAAGTGCAAGGTGAGGAAATGATGGGCTCAAAGAATTGAGAATAAAAAATCTAGTGCACACACCCTAAAAATAAGCAAACAGTTAGATAGAACGAAAAAAAACTTCCATGAATAAAGGCATTTGAAACGTGAAGGATGAACTAAAATTACAAGAAAACAATTAAAATAAATGGATATCCTCTAACAATACTCATTTCATCCTACCAATTCAAAAATTTAGCCTTTATCACAATCATATGTATTACATGTTTCTGAAAGAAGTTCAAAACAGCTCCTAAAAATAATTTATAAACCAATTCTTAAAAATAATTTTGAAAACTAGAAATTATTAAATTTACTATTAATAAATATTTTTTTGTGGATATATCACACTATTCCCTCCTCGCAATGTTATATAGACCAGGATATCAAGCTTTAATGATGATCAATTTTAAATCAAAAGAAAAGTGTTCTCTGACAAAAATCAAATTATATTTAAATGTGATTTTGCAGTTCGATAATCCATTCGAAGCTGTATAAAACTATTAACCATCGTCCGATCGGTGTCAATCTGCAAAGATGTCTGTATGCTTCTTTTCATTACATTGACATTGATAATGAGTGAGATTTTACACATTACGAAAATGTAGTAATTACATCATATCTATAATTCCATAATTTAAAAGTTTCACTAGCACCAACCAAAAGTTGTGAAGAACATGCTTCATTCAAATTTTCAGGGACTACCACTAACAAATTAGCAAGCGCATGTAGTGCTTCAAATTGTTTGCTTACTTCTGGGATTTTCCAACTTAAAACACATTTTCTGAAAAACTCGAGATCAGCACGTAAATTTTAACTTTGAAAACTTTTTTCGGTACGCATAAGTAATAAAATTTTTGTTTTGTGATAAAAATGTAATGATAAATCAAGTAATATTATTTCTTTCGGAAAGAAAAAAGCGATGTCATAATCACGTACTGTACACATCAAGAAATAATAATTTTATGTCAGACATATCTACGTTCTCTTGATGAACTCAATAAATAAAGGATAGTATAGCCACTTGCTTAAAACATTCTTAAAAAGCCGAAATAATCTTATTCGCATTATTAGAAGTACTAAAATGAAAGTCCCTCAACTGTTCATACTTATTTATCTGAAACTCATAACGCTCACCTGTATTCGTTAATATCACATAGCAAAAGCATAGCACCTTGAGAATTATAAGTGAACTGATAAATATGAGTTAGTAAAACTTTATAAAAGCGACGAGCAAATTCCAACATTACAGTTGTCAGATTACCGCCATCAAGGCTATCACGTATTACTTGTACTGCTCCTGTTAAGTACTTAACAACGAGAGCGCAAGCCTGAAAACATTATATAAATAAAGGACAATATTTTAGCTGCAAAAATTATGCACCATCTACAAGATATTGAATTTCCTTTATGGATCAAAATTTTAGTATTTATACTGCCTGAAATGAATTTGACAAATTCTCTTCTTCCCCATATTTAATCTTGCTTCACTTTTTGATGTGGGCATCCTCAATAAAATTGAATCTCTCAACTACAAAACATACTGAGTACGAAAAATTTCTCTCAACTACGAAGAATGCTTAGTATCATTCGGACAATATCTGTTGCTGATTCCCACTCCCTGGACGACAAAAAGCATGTGTAATTTAGTGCTGAGAGACGAGATACAGAGATACAATAAAATATCTATTTTTTCCCAGTACTAACATTAGACATAGCAGTGACTTGCTGATTCTCGTCTTCTGGACGGAAATCTGTCCTTTTCTGCTCATTATTCAGCAAAAATCGCACATAACCAATTACTGAATTAACCTGTCGTTCTAGCCCCAAATTTATCCGACTTTCTACATTGCGTAAGCAATCACTGCGCTTTTTGATACAGGAACCCTCAATAGGCGTGTTGCTGGAAAGATCGCAGGTAATTTAAGTACATAGAAAGAGACGTATTACAAAACATTGGAAATTGATAAATTACCACATATTAAGTTTTAAATACCAATACTTCCAGACAAGAAAGGCCAAAAATTAGGCAAATAACCTCACGAACGGAAAGATCGAGTCATCGTACTGCTTATGAAAAAGATGAGTAATTGCTGCTGCTTGTTGAACAACTGAGAAAAAATAATTAGGAGGCTCAATTTTTGGCTCTGCCAATGATATCCCTTAAGAACGAAGATTATCGAAGGAAAAAACAAACAAATTTTATTACATCAATTATATGTAAATGTACTCAGTAATTCCCGTTTTTACCACAAAAACCCACTTTTTTTGAATTCAACTGAAACTCATGCTTCATCAAATTAATGGTAATATAATTTTTTAATACAACAAACAGAAACAAAATTTTGCCATTAACACATACCAGCGAGAGAAAGATCGATTGCATAGTCCACGTGTTCCGCATACAGAAAACGTAATAATATGTCAAATATTATTTCTGTCATTTTAGGTGCTTCATCTTTATCACATAACTTAAAGTTAACATAGATTCATGAACACACAAACACACATACACTGAATGAAATTGAAAACACTTTCCTTTACAAAGTGAAAAAAAAGAGTTACGAAAGCGACCATATTTTAGAAATGAAGTTTTAAAATTAAGTACACGATTCTAAAATTCTGAAATTATACTATAGGCCGTCAGAATTATTACATTTATTTTGTTTACACTCCCATAAAAAATTTGGCATCTATTTCAAAATCTCAGAAGACAGAATTAATCATTATTTAGCTTAAAAGAAAACGATTAAACCAAAACAACGCAGGAACACACTAGTTGGCAACGCTGGAAAGCATTTTTTGTTTCTTGAAGTATATTAATCGCTACTTCTTCCGATAAAAAAGTTTCACCGCCATACGTTTCTACATTTAATAAGCGCGCTTGAATATCTCGTTTAAGGTCTTGTAGTCTTCAATATATACTTAATATAATCACATAATAAACCAAACCTTGCAAATTTTTTAAAACTGCAATTACAATTTTTCATGCTTGAAACTGAGTCCATTTATTCCTGACAGTCACTAAATTATTCAGAGAGTGGTTTTATCTTAACATGATAGCTTACCCTCCACTATGAATTTGTTTTTTTTGATGATTTTTCGATTCATAAAAGCGACTTAAAATAGCACCACACTGTTCTCCTAGAAACTGTTGTTCGATACTGAAATATAATCAAAGTAAGAAAAAACAATATTTCCAACAGCTGTATTATTTCGAAGAAATTTCCAGAATTTAGAATGTAGAACTGAAATAGTACAAGATTCAACAATGTTAAAAGACTCAAAAATCTAAAATGTCAAATGATCTAAAAAATTTCTAGTAGTACATTAGATGCTAAACAGTCAAAAATTATTTGTAATCCTGCATTCACCATCAGTGCAACTATCACGAAATTGATTTCTTTAAGTTAATTAACAATTGCATCACGAGTTATTGCTCGTACAGAATAATGGATGGTGATAACAGCTTACTTAAAAAAAAATACTCACGTAGGATAGGATTCTAAATATCGTCCAAACACAGATCGCACTACTGTAACCATGAACTGAGTGTCTGATGCGGATAACCGTAAAGCAGTTAAATTCGGCACTAATTTCTGCGTCCTCAATTTGATTATTTTTGTAGATTTCAGAAAATGGCAGTAGTTAAGTTTATAAGCAGACAAAATCACAAGTTAATAAATCAACAAACCTTAAATAAAGCTCATACATCGTTGTTAAATATGCCTCCAAATCAGCTTCGAATTCGCTGAGCTTCGTGGTTATAACCTCCTAAAAGGGCGAGAACTACCTTTCAAAATACAATTTCGTTATAGCTCGAAATTTAGATTTTCTCGTCATCACTGCTCTTTAACAAGCTACCACTAATCCTAGAAAAGGAGCATTTATTACCACTGCGAAATCGTCATCTTTAAACTCTGATCAGTGATTGCGCAGCAGCTAGAAAATAACAAAAAATACCTGTCCATTTAAAGTTTGAAAACATACTTGCAATTTTCCATGAAATAAATTCAAGATTAGCTTCGACATTACTTGATCTGGATTTGGAAAGATTTCTCTCAACATTGGTTGTGTTTTTCGGCATAGTAATAAAATATCATCAAAAACATTGTCTCCACGAAAAGCATTAATTTGCATGTGCTCTACGAAAGCATCTAGGCATTGCGAATAACCCTAGAATCAGTTATCATTCCTAAGATATGAAATGCAAAATTATCAAGCGGTTCCAAAAGTGATTTTGAAATGTAAGTCAGAAGTACTTAAGAAATATAAGTTAGAATATAAGAAACCTTCATAAACAAAACCCTGACTTTAAAAAATTAAACATTTGACGACTATTAACGTATAATAATTGAAATCATACATTGATACGAGATCGATATGTTTTCAACTAACAGTGTGTTAAACCTATTTTAACTCTCTGTGCTTATCAGGAAGGTGGAAAATTAGAAGCTAGAAAATCTGAAAATTTCCACCTTCCTGATAAGGTAGCGAATAACCCTAGAATACCTTAAAATCAGTTAAAATTGCAGCAATCTCCCGCATCCTACGCCAATTGCCCTGCCTGTGAGCTCGTACAAATTCTTCCAACATCAAACGTTCGATTTCATCATATTTGTGAGCAATTCTAATCTGTACGTTGCTGTACTTATCTTTAGCCAATTCTTGAGAAATCGAAGACAATTTTTGGATCATTGTAGCAGATTCTAACAACTGGAAATACTAGAGTTAGTAGACAACATCAATTAAACTAATAAAAAAATATGAAATCAACGATTTTCCACACTTATTCAACATTTTACAAAAATATTGTACTCATAATATAGGAAATAACCAACTCGATCTGGATCAGTAAAAATTTCAGAACTTAGTGGCTGATCAGCCAGAAACTCATCAAAATGCTTCATCAGTTGAAGAGCTTCATTGGCCCGAGCACGTGGAAGATGAACACTTTCCAGTTGGTCTCCCAAATGCACAACTTTGGTGGATACAGTTTGCATAGTACTGTCCAATTGCTGAGAAGTATTTGAAGTATAAAAACATTTTCGTGATAATGTACACTTTACATTTATTTAATCTAACAAAATTTACATGTAAATATAGCACCAATAAGCAATTCAGGGACAAAACAGAAATGTCTATAAGCAAAACTAACAAAAATAGTGTATTTACAACTATTTTTATTAGTTACATAGTAAATTCGCTCCTTTTCATGAAACAATCCTAATAATGCTTTTGGATAACAGTGAAATTGTAAAATGAAAACGAGAGTGCTAAGAATTTTCGAAAATTCACTCCAGTTCCTAATGTGAATCTCAAATTTAGATCAAAAGTTGTAACCTTTAATTTATCCATAGCATCAGCGTTTTGTTCATGAAGTTTATGAAGGACAGTTAAATATTCACTCTTGTCGTTACTACACTGTTGCTCTAACGAAAGTATCTTCGACTACAATGTTTCAAGTTAATTCATAATCAACAAAATCATGTTAATCAATTAAATTCTTAAGTACCATACCAATCCGATTTCTGTTATGCTTTCAATATGTATAGAATTTTAATTCGCATATTAAAAAAACTATGCATGTAGTCGAATTTTGCCAATAAATTCTGAACCTGAAATTGATCGCTCAACATTTGTAAATTACCAATCTCTTCTTCAAACTTCGTTTTTAGATCCACAACATCAATATCATCCTTACCGCCAGTTAAACGCCAAGCTAGGCGTTCAACAAAATCAATCGCATCAAATGGCTCCTAAAAATTATTTCGGAGATGTCTTTCTAACTCATAAACTAAAAGACATCAGTTTCTGCTACTTCATTTCATCTAAATGCTATGGTTCCAAATAAATTAACAATTCACTTGATGCACAAAATAGCATCTATTTCAGGCTAATATACGTGCTATATGAGAGTTGAAATTTTTTAGACTCATGAGCATCAATGAAGTAGATGTTGTAAGCTGAAAACCATTTCTGAAATTTTTTCAATGCTGAAAAAAAAATTGAAAACAAAATGATTTTCAAAATTGAAATTTCGGTTTTTGTGTACCATCAAAATAATCATGGGATCAAAAAATTTTTATTGAATTTTTGCAGGTTCATAAGTTCGTAATTAAAGAAGTTGACTACTTGAGAAACATACATATATTACACTTCACCTGTTCTAGATCTTCAACATAAGTCGAGAAATAATGACTTGTCATTGCTGCTTACTTGGTTCTGAGGATTGGTTTCCGTAAATGTTGATAGGGATTAGTTCTGAAGATGATATTAAATATTATTAAGAAAGATGTTAAAGACTTTTGTAATAGATCTAAAATTTACACTATTCAGCCAACTGAAATATGAATTGATAACTAACGCTATAAACAAAATATCATTAATTATGTTTGAAATCTCATCAGCATGGCAGAAGCTCAGTAGAAAAATGACAATTCAGATAACATAAAGAAGCACGAGCTGAAAACTCATCTCAAAGAAGCTAATATGCAAAACTTAAACGTATAATGCAGCATACGAGTCGTATATGGAACCACGAAACAAGAGACACATTCCAGCAATGAAAGCATAAAAATCATACCGGGAAAAGGCATAAATTCGTTATGTCTGAGCTTCTCTTATGCCTCCGCAGCGACGAAAGTTGCACGTGAACTTGCACAAAAAACATGCATAACTTAACTCAATAAAGCAAGGAATACAATTAAAGCAATGATGTTATCCATAGATAACATGATCCAAGCCAGTCTGCAACAGTAACTTGACTTACTGCAAGGTTTCATTTGATTCAGTAAATTCTGAACCATAGCGATTTCTGTTTCTGCCTACTCATGCTGCATACGAACACTTTTATCCGCTTGCACGTATACTGTCTTTTTTCTTTCACTTGTGCTGTCTTTTGCATGGCAATCTCTGCATCTCTAAAGCTCATCATCTTTTTCTGGTATTTTCATTCTCTAATATCACTGTCTCAGACATCGACTTAAGTTAGTTGTAATACTACGTGGACTCTTGTTTACAAGAGCAGGAGAGGAAGTGAGGCATTTGGTGTTGAAGGTTGTGGAGTGCTACTAAGTGGTACGTATGAAAGATGGGATAGTTAAATTACGCTTGCAGTTCATCCGAGCAAAGGAGTTAGCACATCTTTCACACTCTTGTTTTACGTGTCTATTTGTAGTCTTTACGTGAAACGGCTCCGCACTTACTCTCTTCAAGAAGTCAGTCATTGTAAAGACATATAGTAGTTGTGGAATGATCATGCTACAAATAATGATTTTTTATTAGAGATTTCCAAAATTTATGGAATGGGTCTTGTGAGTGAAAGATGTTTTCATATAAATCCGTGTATGTCAAATAAGACTCTTGCATGAACTCTGAGAAGTCCTATGAACTTTATCACTGTGTAATATCCATTCGAATATTTTCACTTTTGAATTTACAACAAACATATTTTACAGTCTAAATGGTGTCATTGGCTTTTTCGTGACACCACTTAAATTGTAACATATGTTTGTTGTGAATTCAAAAAATGATCAGTCTTCTGAACAAACTTATTTTCAATTTTGGTTTTCATCGCTAGCCATGCACTATTTAGCATACTATTCAAATACCTGTTGATTGATCTCAAAATCGCTTTTCTTTCCTCATGTTAAAAAGTTAGGAAATTATTTTTCCATAAATTTTGCTACTTTTTTCGTTCACTGTTTTCGTTGCGATAAACGAAGCGAATCCGATGAGTCTTACTGTCTCTCTTGCGCGGCTTTTCAATCAGAAAATAAGATTAATTTGCGATCATCAATAATACCAAACAACTGGAAAAAGAAACTATTTTAAGTATATTTTTGGATTTTATATAGTGTGTACAGATTTTATTAATTATTGTTGATGTTGAAAAGAATTTTCAGTGTTTGGATCTACATCACGATACAATTTGTATATATGTTGATACTGATCTAGTACTAATATTGACATACGTGTAATTAGTATATGACTACAAAAATGATTGAAGAATTATTATCAGCCATAAAACAGTCAGAATGGCATGAGGCAGAACGTATTTTGATGAATTACTGGATGCTGCAGTGTCCATGGATTTGTGTACCTACGTCAGATACGTTTGACTTCATCATGAACGAAAATGCATTCAGTTTGCACTTTTTCCTATTCATTAAAAATAATGACTTTTTGTATAATTTGGATCTACTATATAATAGTTATGAAGTTTAATGTGATAATTCGTAATAGTTGAGTTGCTCTAATCACGGAAAAAATAGTTGGGGAAATGGAAAATAAAGTAGACCAAATATATGAAAATTTATTGGCAGTTAGTCATTTTATGATTCCAGGAAAAGAAACTTTGCATTCAAATTACAGTCAAATCTCTATTCCATTGAGTGAAACTGTAAATTACGTGTTTCTGTTATTTTGATTACACTGAAAACATTGATCCAATGACAGCTTGATATAAGTAATCTTTCAGATGATAAACTAATACATCCTATTGCTTGTGCTTACTGCTTAGACGAAAATGTTAAAATGGATTTAAAGCCATTAAATTATGCATTCTATGGGTCGCAGTCTACAAAAAGCCATCTTAGTTTTTTTTGTGGTCATGTTTTCAAGAGTGGAGAAACAACTTATTCATGCAAGTTCGCAATTTTAATTTGTCTTTTGCAATTGCTCATCCTTATAAGTTCGGGCAAACTATACTTAGATAGTGTTAAACATATTCATATTATTTGACAATCATCCGGAAAGAAGGAACGGAAAACAGTTTTTTGTCGAAGTTCTTGAGCACTGATTTTTGTTGTAGCCTGCTAGAATAACATTTTTTATATAAAAGAAACAGGTGATTGTCAGAAAAATTGTCCAAATTTTATTTAAAGAGCTTGTCTTCTTACTTTAATGATCTAGGAAACTGTTGAGTAAAAATCGGAGGCATATTAGCATGGAATATAAAAATTTAAATGTACCATTGCCATTTCTTCTTTATATCCAGTATATTGTATAACATGTCTAACACTTCTCAAGTTCGTGGTTACTTGTAAGCTATTCATAAAGTGTTATTAATTAAATTTGAACTTTAAAAAGGAAGATGTACAGGTTCATGTCATGTAATTAGTTAGAGTTAAATGTAGTAAGATATCAAAAATGTTCAATGAAAAATCATTTGAGTATAATATCAATGACATACATACATTCAGAGAATGTGCAGCTGATGCGACATGTGTAATGTGCTATGAATGCTTTTCAAATTCAGCTCATAAATCTCATCGATATAGAGTAGGTCACTGTTCTACTAGTTTATTGGTACTAGTATACTTGTCGCTTTATTAATTCAGTGTTCATTATTAGAAAAAATTCTCTGATCAATTAAAAATTAATATCACTAAACTTCTGTTTTTCATGCGGTTGTTTTGTTGAGTACTTTTGAACTGTAAATATCTAAGATCGAATGTCTTGAGATGGCGGCATCAAGTGGAAATGGTTATTGTGATTGCGGTGATGTAGAAGCGTGGAAAGAGCATCCAGCTTGCAAGTTACATGAAGTAAATCAAGAAGAGGAAAATTCAAGGTAACTTTTCTCACGTAAATCTCCTATACTATCTAAACATTTGAAACGAATTGATGTCATAAGTTGTTTTGCTATTGCCTTCATAAAGTCTATAACATTTGATTCTTACTGGTAGCTAGTTTGTATTGATTTGAAGTTTTTAATAAGTGTAACAGTCAACTCTACGAGCAAGAAATCAAAATTTTGTGATCCTCATGGTAGAGTATATTTTCCAGAAGATCGTACTTATTTCATAACAAGTAGCATTAAAATTATGTTCAGGTTTATCTTCAGAAATCATCGATATTTCAGAGTTGAGAACTTGACAGGGGAAGATAAAAAAGAATTAGAAAAACGTGTCTATTCATTAACACGAATTATTCTCCAGTTCGCAATAAAAGTTATTTGTTGGACTGATGACGACTTTTTACCCACATTCATGAGGTTACCATCACTTGTATCATTCCAGCGAGTGTTGGGTGCACATTTTACTATTGAAATTTGGCTTCTTGTATTTATAAAAGTTTAATTTTGAAAACGAAAGTTGATGCTAAATGTCTTTGTTTATGAAACTTGTAGAGATAATAGCGCTGACAGCACTTTGCCACCATATCAGACAATCTTGATGAATGATGAAACTCATACATACGATTCAGTAAGTTGTATATAGTTTAGTAATTGAGCTATAAAATGTAATTTTTTGATGAAAATGATTATGATCAAAGTAGAGAGGCAAAAAATGAATAATCAGTTAATCAAGATAGAGGTTAATATTGTCAATTTCAAACTTTTAAAGCTGAAATTTTTAGCCAGAATTTGAGATTGACCGAAATTGAAATCTTTCATGCAGTTTAGCAAATTTAGTAGTGATGTCATACTCACTGCTTAATTTATATATTTTTTTTAAATCAAGGAAAAAGAAGTCATGGTAAATTCTTCAGAAATAAGTTTTTGAGTTTAGGTGATCAGAGCATTGAATCTCTCGATAAATTGCACTGAAACAGAAGCAATGCATCTAGCAACTATAATTGATCGTGAAGGACGTGCCTCTGTACGTAATGGCAGTATGGACTATTGTAGAAAAGCAAGAGAAGAAATTCAGGTAATAGAAACCATAGATTTTTTAATACTTGCACAACAATTGCTATAATGTATTACTCATGCAGTTGATTCTAAGTAAACTTTTCGTTTTAATGTAATCAAATGTCTAGTTATTGTTTGCCGATTTTAAGCTGCCTCATTACTATTGAGTGCTATGAAAAAGATATTAGTGTTATTTCGGATTATTTTCTAACAGAAATCAGCAGTTTACTGGCATGAGTACATTTAAATTTAAGAGATTATGATTAGTTTTAACAAAATAACTATTTAGATATTTATTTCAGAGACGCACTCAAAGAGATTCAAATCACCGAACGGAGAAAAGTGGTCCGTTAAATGTACGTGTTATCGATAGCCGTTTTATTTCCTTGCAGAATTTTGCAGTGCGTTTAGTTGGATGGTTAAAAGCTCAAACACGCTGTTTTCGTAAGTGATATAATTATTGGATATGGTTTGGATAGGAATAGTTCTCTTTAATTGAAGTTGTCATTTTAAATAAAATTTGAATTTGTTAGCTTTTTGCTACATTATTTACACATATTTTTTACATTCATAAAAATTAGAATTAATATTATGCAATACAAATCTTTGGTACAAATTTGCTCTTTTTTCTTGTGAAAATTTTTTCTTTTTCAGCAGCTTTAGCGTTTACTGTAGGTGATATATTATTAAATGAAAAAATAAGTGAAGATACCGATGAAACTCTGATGATCCATGCAATGAAACATGACTCGGTGATTTGGAAAGGTATATTATTCTGTTGTAAAATTTCTTTATATGTTCTTTTTTGATCTTAGCCAATAGGCCAAGAAACAGTTCAAGATAATATTTTAAAATTTTACAAATATCAAGACATCTGCATTTGTTGTGTAATTCTAGATGTTTGATTTATTTAAATCATAAAAACTGACATATGAGACATTTTACAGGGGCAAGGATTATTTTTCATCAGATTATTATGGCAACAGTACTGATGAATAATCAACAAAAACAACAGTTTGCAACATTGTACGTACAGGTGAATTCCTTTTTTAAAGATTAAACAGTAAAAGTCTCAATGTATTATTTTTTAAAATACTGTTTTGAATTCAGTATTTGATATTTGTTGTGACTATCACTGTGCTTTATAAGAAATCTAATCAAATTAAAGTTTATTTTAAAATATTACAATGGTAGAAACACACTTGTATTGAAAAGCTATTAGAACACACGTTTAATGAAAAGCTGGAAGTATTTCAAATGTCTGGTTCTGTCGTTAATTGAAAAACATGCATTTAAGTTATACAAAAAAGTTTACGATGATTTTATCGATGACGATCTTGATCATTCCGTGTCTATAACAGCCTTAACTGTTCAAGTAAGCTGTTTTTTTCCTAACTATGTAGTAATCTATTGATAAAGCACTTTTGTAATGTTTATCATAAATGCCGTGTCATAAAAATCGATACAGAAGTCATTATGTTTCTTTTTCTCTTTCTTTTGATTTCATTTTTCCATTGTATCTTTTGAATATTTTCCCTTTTATTTTTTCTTTTGGTGCCAAAATCAGCCAATTTCTGTATGCGCTATATATTAGTTGAAACTGAAATTCTAAAGTTGTTTAGTCTTTTTGTTTCGTTTCATGAAAAAATTTTTCAAATTTTCAGATATTCACAGTACCTACGTTAGCAAGATTCCTTATTGCTGAAGAATCAGTATTGAAAGTCATATTCGATTCACTAATTAGTCGATGTGAAAAATACCTTAAAGGTTATTGGCTTCAATCAATTCTATTTGCTATATTTTTATGTTGTATATTTGCGATGTTTAGAAAAAAAAATAAAATAGCAAGAATAAGATTTTTTGTGTCCCATAATTTATTAATATAATATATATTATTTTAGTTCCTGAGAAAATGAAATTCGATTTCTCTTCGCGTTCATATCCCCATGCACTTCGGCGATCCATTTACATGCTTTATGATGGAAAGTAAGTATAAGCATTTACAACTTGTAAAGTGCGAATGTGCACTGAAGATTAAGATCACTTCTTAATACAATTTTTGCTGAATATTCTATAGATATATATGATCATGATGATGATAGTTCTTTTCGGTGTATTTAAAGGAAGGAAGTTTTTTGTGCACTGATATATTTATCAAGCATGTCTCATCAGATATGTTAATTAAATATAGTAAAATCTGAGTAGGTTTATTGGTTCGAAACTTCCGTAAAATAAAGTTCAGAATGATTGTTTTCCAGATACTTGTTGTCAGTAGTTCCTTCAAAGGAGGAGTGGTCACCTTTACTGCGTGAAAATTTTATTGATGGTTGTTCTTCTCTCATACGTTTTCTTTCATTTATGCAGGTAACGTTTCGTTTTTTGACACATAAAAAATCGACTTAAGTAATCAGCGCTCGCACTAGAAATTTTGTACTAGAAATATTTCACTACCAAATTGATTTTCAGGGGATGGATGATGTCCGTCGTCAAACTTCAGAACATCAAACTTGGGAGCAGGAATGGGAAACAGCATTTAATATACAAATCAAATTACAACATGTTCTTACACTTGTGATATTTTGGGCTAATTCTGATGTGAGAGATCTTTGTTTGCAAGTTTTATCATCATGTTCTGAGTTTTCAGTATTTTGCTATTACTATGCAAAAGTTTGCTGGATGTATGATGTAGCTTAGAACTGGTGTGTAATTTCACCTCTCTTCTACTACTTTCCAGATAAATTTTTTTATAAGTAACAGCATTTGGTAACTGCATTCAAATTTTTAGCTTATGGTCATTTTTTATTGTAGGAAATCGTACATTATCGTTTAATGACTTTGCTGCTTGAGGAGTTAGAAGCGATCACAAGTCGCTGTCCTGAGTTTATTCAACTTACTTCTGTAGAAGGCTTGTTTTTGAAAGTTTATGTTGTTTTTTCTTACTTTCAAGTGCTTTATTTTCCACTCTCCGAATGAAAAAGTCTCTAAATTAGGGTTGATTTTTTTGTATTATATCTGGAAGCTTTCAGAACATACCAAAGATATGATTTATAAAGTACTTTAGTAAATGATATAAAAGCAACGTGCATACCATTTGATATGTCACTTGGTACTCTATCCGTTCATCAGCCTCACTGGCGACTTCTGGCTGGTTTGTTTACTGCACCTCAGTCATTTCTTCGAAAAGTTGTTATTCAGAATGTTGAGGATGTTGAGGAAAAAGTTCCTGAAATGATGATTAATATGAAAGGAAGGCGTGCTTTACTTTTGGAAATGCCTCTGCGGTAAACTTTCAATTAAATTTTGTCGAAGAAAATAAGTAGCTGAAACTAAGATATTATAAGTGGGATTTGATGATTTTGTGTATTAAGTAAATAGTAATTTTGAGGTTTGTGTTTCCCAATTGCTTGGGATATCTGAATAAGTTTCAAAGTATGTTGCTCAAAAATTTTTTACAATAATAAAAACTCAGTCGTGATTAATCTTCGGATGTCATTTCATTTATCTATATCTTCATGTTTTTTGCATTAATAAAGTTTTTTTGATGCCTACAGTGATTTACCTAACTTCGAGAAATGAGAGCAATGCTAAAGATTTTAGGATATTTGTGCTTTGTTCTCAATCACAAGCACAGATGTGGCGAAGAAATGGATTTTCGTTAGTGAATCAGGTTTATGTTTGCATTAGTTTTGGAAGTTCACACTCTATAAATATATAAATATGAATAAATATATATTTATGTATATACATAAATTTGTATTTGTAATTTTTCTAGATTCATAATTATTCTGCCCCGCTCTGTCGAGCCGAAATGTTCGATAGAGATGTCCTCTTAATGCAGGTTATTAATTTTTAGTTATAAAAGTGAGATTTATGCAACAGTGACAGAATAATCTTAAACTGAATTTCGCCTTAACCAATCAAAAAACTATTCGTCTACTAAAAATTGTCTTAATACATTAAAATTTTTTTTTTCATGTTTCCACGCTCAAAAAAACCTTTTTGTAAAATCTGAATTTTATAAGGCATCTGCTGATGAATTAAAAATTAAATGCATTTGCATTAAGGCTGTCACTGTTTTCAATTTTTGAATGACATATCAGTATCATTTTGAGTACGGAATACTGAATATAACTTACCTCAAACTTTGTAATTTGTAGTTTCATTTCATGTAATATACAAAGTTTTTCTTAATTTTAGGTTTGTGCGGCATTGACGCCACCAGATATATTTATTATAAGGGTTTTATACCGATTTGGTTTGCACGTTTGGGCTTTGCCAAATTATGAAGAAGTTGTTCCTGGTGTTGTAGCGTCTGATGATTCCAGTCGATGTACAATTACGTTGGCAGAGGAAATGCTTCAATTGTTTATCATTGTTATCGGCATGCTTTATTCCACATTTTCTAGTTTAATTTTTATTTGTGCTCATATTAGTTTCACTCAAAGACTTAAATTTTAGATCTTTTATCCATCGACCATAGTTCTATTTGTTTCTTTTATTCATTGTTTCTTTTTCATGTTTTCAGTGGAATTTATTGAAGCTGAACAGTGTAACTTTTTTTTTCAACTTTTTTTATTTCATAGATAGACTTTTTTTGCCAATAACAGTGATGAGAACAGAATGAGTTTTAAGGAGAGCGTTACCTGCCTGGTGTTGGCAAGTCAACAGCTGAAGATCTACTGAGACGCGAAGTGCTTCATATTCTTGCAACGGAGCCCAAAACATTCAGTAAAGTAGTAGTTTTTTCTTTTTTCAATTTTACGTTTTTTTTTTGTCCTAAATGTAACCGTTGTTCTTATGGTGCTGCTTCATTCTTATTCAGATCGAACACCTATTGCCAGAAAGTCAGCTTTTTGCGAAAATTTCTATAGAAGAGGCGGCCAAAAGTGTGGGAGATTTTAGGTGAAGCCTAGCACTTAATTGCTTCCTTTTTCTTTCTTTGATGCTTTATATAGCTTTGTTACACTTTAATGATATCGACAAACCAAATTGAAGGGGGATAATATTATGTTAGTTATAAAATTTTCAGAAAGCCTACTAAAACAGCACCCGGAATATTTTATTTGAAGAATGATGTTAGAAATGAGTACAATTCATTTTTTTATCACTATACGAAAACGGATGTTTCAAATGCTGATCAGTATAGACAAAAGTGTGTGAGCAAAATACTGAAGAAGTATAATTTCAAGTTTTCTTAGCATTTACTGATAACTGTTTTAAAATTCATGCCTATTATTTTTCCTCTATGCATGTAACAGTTTGAGATATGTATTTGTTATTCACCAGTAATCTATTTAAATTTAAGAAAATTTAAGTAAGCAATTAAATTTAAGAGGAAATCTGAGACTAAACTAATTGGTAAAAAAATTAAGCAAGTTAAACTTGTAGACTTTTCAAATTTGCAACCATGAAATAAACTAGTAGCTAAAAAACTGAGTAAAAAATGAAGTTTTTATATTCAGAGAAGCAGCAGTAGCTGCCCCACCGATGCCGCCACCATTTGAACCATTTTATCAGCCAATTACCAATCTTTTGTGTTCTAAGACGATGATGCATTTATTTAGTATTGTTTTGGCGAGGACAGCTAGAAGAAGTCGTTTTTCAGGCGATGGGTTGTTTCATCGAGTAAATTTCTTCATTATATATAATATCGTTCTCATTTACTGTGAGCATATCAAATTCATTCTACCCAACTTAGTTTTTCAGTTTGCATAAATTCATTATCACATTAGTGATATAGCTTACTATATCCTTGCTTATATACCATCATAATTCATATTTTGAGTTTTAACTAGAAAATAATGGTATTTAATTGGTACCGTCGCACTACTTTTTTCTTTAAGTAATAGCAGTTGATCTATTTTGCAGGTTCTGTTTCTAATTGGAATGGGTCTCAATGAACAGATCTCAAACAAAAATTTCGATTTCATTACTTGTGCCGAAAAAGTTAAAATTTTTGAAATGATGAAGGCTTTAGTTGGGAAACCTGAATCGGAATCACATGCCGATTTATTGCAATATACACTTGAGGTTTTATTGCTTAAGATTTCAAATATTTATTTTATAATTAATACGCCAAATTTTATATTTCTTAAAGAACGACTTTGAATTGTATTAGATAGAAATGTTTCACAAGCATATGGGATTAAGAGTATTATTTGAAAATATTATCCGTGTAAAAAAACAAAAAGTCTAAAATGTTGCTAAAAACAATTTATGATTTGTAAAAAAGCGAATCGAAATCGGATTTAAAACTTATGGGAGCAATCTTTCAGCTCTATGAAACAATAAACTTAAGTAAAAACGCTGAATCACAAAGGAATTTGAAAATGGAAACATCCGATTTGGAAATGAAAACTAGAAAAGCAGCTACTGCTGCAAAAAAACGAAAACAAGCTATGGATCAGGTAAAATATACATTCTTAAAAATGTTGCTAAACTTATTGTCTTATTTTTGAAGCTTTTATATTCTATGTATTTCAGATGATTCGACTTCAAAAGCAATTTGTGACACAGAATAAGGAATTTCTTGGGAAGGAGTACAGTGAAGAAATGGAATCTCAAAGACAAGATTGCAGTGAAGAACCTATTGGGTATTTCAGATCATTATTTGAATTTGTTGAAAAAAATCTTAGTATTTAAAAAAAATCTCAATATTCAGAAAGATATTTTGTCAGCAGAAAAGTGCAGTTTACACGTTTTTTTCAGAATTTTACCGGAAGGTAGTGGTTTTCCAATATGCTTGGGTATTAATCGAACTATTGCTAAATACAATTTCTGCAGACGAATTACGTGCATTCTTTGTCAAGAGGAGGAATATGTTAAAGAAAGTGGCCAGGCAATAGTCTGTGTTGGTTTCATGCAAAGGTGAATGCTACCTTTCACAAATCTTTGTAATCTGCTTTCTATTTGAAGGTTATATGAGTGTGAAATTAACGGACGATAAATCCTTGAATGCAATCTGTGTATGTACTGATATCTTTCTACTTAAGTTTAGACTATCAAATGATGTCTCTTCGCGTCTATTTTCTTGTGTTACTGACAAAATTAATTATCAACAGATCCTTTTGTGATATGTTATTACTTATATTTTAGATCATCCTTGTTTTCGAAAGTAAAGCAGGATAAAAAGGAATCAGATTTGTCGGAAATTTTCGTTCCAGCTGCACTTCGAAGCGGCGGAGAAGCATCAACATGTGGCCATTTGATGCATTTTAACTGCTACAAAAAGTTTGATTTTGCTTCCTAATTTGTGAAATTTACAAGACAATTTTTTTTCTTTATCAGTAAAAACTAGTGGATCATTATTTATGTACTACATCAAATAATTAATACGAACTTCAATCGTTAGGTTTTCTGAGTTGATACGAGATCGTGATCGTGGCAGAAATCGGCAGCCTTTGGCTTTCAATCCTCGTGTGGTTGACGTTAGTTTGGGCGAATATTTGTGCCCTCTTTGTAAACGTTTGAGCAATACCATATTACCAGTTCTACCTCCTCTTTTGCAAGATTCCATGGAAAGGTATATACATTACCAGACTCTCCCAAGTCAGTAGGTCAAAAATTGTCCTGATAATTTTTTTAGTTTTTATCGTTTCAGAATTTAGGAGATCATTTTTGTTAAAAAGTTCTTTAGAGTTGAACCGGAAAAAAACTGTATTGAATTCGCAGACTGGTTAAATAATTGGCTCGGTACGTTTGCTGATGTGCGCAAGACGAAGGCAGGAAAACCATTTAAAGGCTTTAATAGAAAAAGGTTGGTTCCTTCTGTCGCTACTACTTTTTCTGTGCACTGTAATAGTTAATAAATAAATTGTTTTAGGTCGCATTCGGAACGTTCTTTAATGGATTTAGGTAGTACAGATAATGGAGCAGAAAATCCTTTATCAGTATCGGTTCCGTCAACTTCTGTGATGTCTCTTACAGAAAAGAACTCAACACAGTCGGGTATCCATAGTTTTGTTTCAGAGTTACTGTTTAAAAAAGTTGTCTTTTAAGGTGTCACTTTTCGAATTTCAGTTGAAATTCATTTATTTTCTTAAGCAATTACAATGGAAATCATTGTTTTGCACTCCATCTTTTCTTAAGTGAGGTAAATGTGATACTCGATTATGACTAATTTGATGAGGTTTTACTCTCTGAAACTGTGGGTGTCATTGAATTTTAAGATGTGGAACAAGTGATGGAAATGGCCAGTAGTGATGTCAAAAGTGAAAAAAAAAATGTTGAACGAGAAAGCAGTTCTGATGGTAAATTTTTGTCGATTTTATCATCTTTCCCGGATTTAATGCATAAAATCAGAGACATGCTTACACATCCAGAAAAGCAACAAAGTGACAGGTATAAAATCTTTATCATTCCTCCAACTACTGTTAGTTATCTGTACTAATATTTAATGATGTAATTGTGAATTTGTGAAAAAAACTTAAGTGAACCGCCATGAGATAGAGAAAATAACTGATAGTAACTGATCAATAATACTTAAAAAGATGAATTTTTTGCATGAAATAGTTGTCTTTGGTATAGTTTTCTTGATAATTTTCAGCATGCGGATACATTTTTCTGCGGAAATTTGGGAGATGGTCAATTATTTTATGAAAGAAATAGAGTTGGTCTGTTGTTTATTGGAATTAACGAGTTTCTCGATTTTTTCATTTTTTATTTTACGTTATCTGAAATTTAACATTATGACAAATTCATATTTTAATATATTTTGCCATTGAGTTGTTTAATCGTTAAATAAATTGTCTGTCAAGTATCGTTTCCAAATTTTGTATGGTTATTACTAAACATTATTACAAAATTTTTTCAAGCATCTACAAAATGAAGGGTTACCTGACTACTTCAATCAAGAAATTTTGGGAACATTATATACATTTCAAACTACTGCGTTCTCACTACGTTCTATTGCAACAGTATTGCGACATACTGGTAAACCATTATTTGGTGCTTGGAATGCAAGACAAGTCAGTTATATATTTTGCATATTGCGTCATATATCATGCATAAAGTTTAGTGTTTTTTAAGAAGGCAGTGATGTGAGAAAGAACAATATATCACTTTATTGCATCATTTGATAAAAATCTGTGTTTGCTGTGGCACACATAAAAAACAAGTCATGTGAAAATTTAATGAGCGAGTATTGTACATAATGTTTTTCTATTCAAAAACATTTATTTCACAAATTTTTTCCAGCGTGAATGCATTTATGGTTTGTCGAGAACTTGTGCAGCAATGACTATGAAATGCTATTCGTCCTTTGATTATCAGCGGATTCTACTACTTCAGTTATTATCACCTTTGTTATTGTCAACTGATAGAGCTAATGACCAGATCTCAAGTGCATTGCCTAATTCACAAAGTTCTAATAATCGTTCGTTATCTGAAGCACTCGATGAGAGAAGAAAAGCAGTGAATTCCATGTTGAATACGGGTGGAATTAATAAAGTGTGCTTTGAAAGTATTGCTTTTATTCCCAGTTTTCGCTGCTTATGAATTTAAAAAAAGAAAACAAAAAGCTTTATGAGCATAAAAGAACTAGTATGATTTAAAATTTTGTACAGTCTACAAATAATTGAGAAGCTTAAAGAACGGCTAAAAATCATAGCAACTTTTTACAATTACTGGATATGGTTTCAACAAAAAATTGTGGGAAATTACATGCAAAAATTATTTTCAGGCTCAGCTGGAGTTAGCAGTAATGATTTTGATTGAAGAAAATATTAAGGAACCTCCAAATATTCTTGCAATCGATATGCTTTCATTAGCGGTAGATTTATTCAATGTTTTACATCATACCATTATCACGCTATGAAAATAATATTTTGTAGGTGGAACTGGCCATGTGTGAGGGTTGGGATCGCATAAATGAAAATGGTGAAGATGGAAACAAATTAAAAAGTAGAAGATTGCCTCATGGTTCTTACAACGAACAATATATGGTTAGATTGGCATTGATAGGGCATCTGTATCAGGTACCATTACTTTTATATATGTTAATTAACTTTTTAGTACTTGAAGGGAAGCTTAAATCATGTACTTGAATGAAGATTCAAATCACATATGGAATTTATCGCTGTCATTGTTTGATACCGGGGTATAGATGTTATCCACATGTGATTCACTGAAAAAGACTTTTGTTTATGCCAAAATTCACATCTTTTGTTTTTGGAGGAAAACGTCATTGGCATCGATGGAAGGTGAACTAACGATCTTTATTTAAAGTGTTTTACAAATTATTCTGATTTATAGGTAATGGCAACATTCGATACAAAATCAATTTCTCAGAAATGTACTGTTTCACCGTTTGCTACATGCGATGACAGAATGTTGAATGATATTCTATTGCGACTGTATGCTATTGTTCATCCTGGGCAAAGGCTGCATTCAGTTGCTACGCTAAAAGAAGTATGCCTACAAGTCATATAATCTTTTATGTGGGCATAAATTTAAGTAAAGCTCTGTTTGTATATTATATGAAGTGGGAAACTAGATCAACTGGGAGGCACCTAAGTCAAATGTCGTGTCCAAAATTTATAAAACCAAATCACTATCACTGACATATATAAAATGATATATGTATACAAAGAAATGTGGAGGTTAACCTTCTTTTTTGCTTTATCGATTCTAGCGCTAGATCGTATTCCGTAACTTTAGCTGTACTTGTCCCGCGCTCAGATTCGCTATAATTATCCCTCTTGCTTCATCCCCGTGAAATCCATTGTGGTTATCGAATATAGTGTTTTCGATCATCTTGAGCACTACCGATTGAAGACATGTCTCGACGTGATCACGCTTTATGGAAATTCTGTGCAGTCCCATCCCAAGTCATTACATACACAGTTATTTGGCCTCTAACCCAAGTTTATTAGCCAATTGGTCATATTTTTGTTTTTTCTCAGTCTCGACTGCTTTTAACCTGTCCTGACTAAATCTCTGACAGGATTACTTCACGTCGCTTGTTATCATGTATCATGGTATTCGGCCGATCCAGACTTGTCTTTAGCTGTTATTACTTGCCTATCGACTCTAATCTATACGTTCTCATTCGCGACGACATCCTGAATGGAATAGCTTCGCATGCGCGGAAATCTTTCGACCATACTTCTTGCAGAGTAAGTGGATGCATCGTAGGACCTCACTGTGTCTTCTAGTACAGTCGTGATGTAACATTTTTTCGCATGCGTTGCTAGATGGTTCACAGTCTTCACACGTTCCCTAGTGTTGGCGTATACCTTTCTCAGCTCCAAACATATTTCTGTCTTGGAAGTTACAGTCTTGTGCTTCATCTTGCGGGGTAATGTTTCCGTATCGGAGTCATACTGATGAGTCAGCTATGGACGTCATTTTATTCGTCCGCATCTTGTATAGCTTAGAAAGGTGGATTTTATTTTTCATTTATTTCGCTATACAAGAACGCCTTCCAGGCTTCTATACGTTTTTGACAGTAGGATTTTCTGCGAGGTTGTATCTAGTCTTTAGATAAGGCACAAGTACTTGCTATGAGCTTTCTCTTGCTTCAGAATCGCTGCTTTCCTGGGTGATATGGGCCCGGTATCTACAAAAACATTATGTAGTTGAAGAAGCATAAGCTCATTATTCTGCTCAACATTATAAAGTCCACGTCCTAGCTCGTCCTTGTGCAGTTACAGTCTTTTTAAACATGCAAGTTGGTTATGAATTCCGTATTTGTCTAGTAACTGCCTGGTATCGTGGTCTTTAGCTTTGAAGTCGTCTGACTTTTCTTGATCCACTTCTAATTCTACCACATCAAGGAACTTCTGAACGTCTTCAGCTATCGACTTCATGATACCTTCGTCGGCCGCAAAGATCTTGAGATCATCTACAAACAGTAGATGGTTCGTTATGTGCATTTTTTGATCAGTTAGAACCGCTAATTTTGGACACCCCATATTGACTTTACAGCTCAATGGGCCCATACACAAAACGTATAGCAGCGGAAAAAGGTTATACCTTAGAAGATTCCCAGCTCTATCTTTTTGTGTATTATGGTTTGTCCATTACTTTTCAATGCAACCGACTATCTGGAGGTGATGTTTCTCGGAAACTGCCGATCCACGTTGGCATATTGAGTATTTAAATACATTTAATCTGGTAGTTGTGACTAACTGAATCGAACGCTTTTTTAACGTCATACCACGTCCTATATAACTAGTTCCCATGCTATCTGCATACAATCAGGTTCAAAAGTGCTTGCTTTTTCGCATTTTGAATGTGAGGAACGATTGGAGCACTGAGTTCCACATCGTGCTCCAATTATGAAAATCACTGACTTTGAACTTTTCTGTCTCTATATTTTAGCTAGCAAGTTGTTCTTCGGTTAGATTCTTATAGAACCACAATTAAAAATTTCAAATCTGACGCATATCGAGACTCATAACTCTTTATTTTCATTAACTCTCACGCGCTCTACGTGCTGATGTATGCTTAATACTTCATAACAGTCACGTTTAAGAGCAAGTATGAGATTCATGTTCCTCATACATTTCTTGGCCCTCCCTTAGGCTTTTACCTTCAAGTGTTTCCCGGTCCAAATATCGCTCTATGATGGTTCTGTGGAAGTTGTTCACACTTATCTTCTTTTCATGCGTACCCTTCAGTCCTGATGACTTCTCTCACCTTGTCATGTCTTCATAACATTGTTGTTCTACCTAGAGTTATCTTGCAATATCGGTCATTGATTTGGGAGGATTCTTTGTGGCGTATTTATTCGTCGCTTGGTTCACCACTCCAATTATAAACGGGTCAGCGCTTTCCGATGTCATTTTCAGCGTTCACTTCGTCCAACTTATCTCACATCGTTGGGTTTCTTCCATCAGCACCAGGTATTTCTCTTTTACATCTTGATAAGCTTTTGACTCATATAGAGTATCTTGCTCGAAATACGTGTCTTGTATTTTGACACCTGACTCTTCCAAGAACCATCTAAGCTCGGGCCGCTTGCAATACTGGTAATCACAGAATTCGCTTACTTTTTCAGTTCTTCGAGGGTAATTACGCACAAGAACTTCTCATTATGCAGGGAACGGTACGGTGGCCATCGGCATTCTTCCAAAACAGTCAAGGACCGCTTTCTGCACCTCTCCTGGCAACCTGTTTCATGAAACTTCGATTCCATGGACGAGTGTTTCTAGCGTGATCATGGTATGTGGTTTCGGTACACTGGCAGAGTGCTCTCTCATACCTGTTGAAGAGCTTCATGAAGAACATGGAAAAAAGTACTCGTCCAACGAATCGGAATCAGCAGAACTGATTGCCGGTAAAGTACAGCGAGAGTGCTGGAAAAGGAGCCAACGCTAGGATCAAGGCAGAAAAGATTAACCCCCAACTTGCCGCACATGATATTTATGTTCTTTCGCAATCACCTCAAGTAATAGCCTCGCATGGAAATATAACAAATGTTATGTATATAACTGTAAATATATGAGCAATATAATAGTTTATCTGTGATTGTAAAAAAGATAAATGAAGAAAGAAATTTTCATGTCAAAATGATAATTTTGAAATGTGTTATTTACTTCAAAACCTCGGGTTCTGTTTTGCAGACACTTCATCTGGCAGTTGCTGAATTCCTACGTCCTTTATCTCTCTTGTATCATGCACTTACGCTTGTGCCTCCACCAGAAGCTCTTAAGGGTACGACAAGATTGGTTCACTTTTTTGCTGATTATATTTTCTTTTTTTAAATCTATTTTCCAATAAGCATTTTAGAAATAGATAGATGAAACTCCTGAGTTACTTGTATGATAATTCATCACTTTTACTGTTTGAAACTATGTTAAAATGCAGAATTTTATGATCGTTGTCGGCATTGTGTAATTTTTTTATTCCAAAAGTAAATCGTGCAGATTAGTCACTCGCATTTTTGCAGATCCTTCTGTTCAAGAGTTCGAGCCTCTGTGTCGCTATCTTGGTTTTATGCCAACGCTCGTTGACTTTTTAAGTGGATCTTGTGTGGAAAAGTTATTTGTATTGTAAGTTTTTTATATATACAGAAAAACTGCCTTCAGACAACTTCGCTGGATGCTGTTTATCATTCAACTAGTTTCTTAATTTGTGACTCCTATTTCAGTGGTCTTTTATTTTCATAATTACTAATCGTACACAGTCAGTAGAATTGAGTTCCAAACAAAGGTATCTTTTATTCAAAGTAACATTTGTTTGTAGATGGTCGTCAGCATTGGGAAACATCTCGAAAGGGGACCTCATTAAGCAACCAGTTTTAAAAAATGTTTTCGTCAAGTTACCAGAAGATTTTTCCGAATTAATTAATTCTGTAGCCAATTTCAGGTTTGTTATGTTCCCTAAATGTCCTGAAAAGCTTTAATTTAATATATGATTTAATGTTACATTAGTATGCGATACGTAAGTGAAAGTCATCTTCTTGGTATGTTCATTGTTGTAAGGAAACTTTTTAAATGTGGCTTTCATATGTCATAAAATTGTCTTTTAGTTTCATAAAATTGCTGCTACTATTAAAACTATTGATTACTGATATTTAGTTCTGAAGTAACAATAGGCACTACTTTTTTTTTTGATTTCGACAGTTTTCAGATGTCCTTCAGTTTCAATTAACGATCGTTCAGCATCATCACCAAGTTTATGTCTTATTTGTGGTTTGCTACTCTGTTCTCAGAGTTACTGCTGTCAGCGCACGGTATGTCATGTTCGGTAATTAATTTTTTCTCTCTTCATGTAAGGCAAGAACCTTTTTCTTGATTGCTGTCCAAAGTTTTTGTTTCACAAATAAAATGTCAGATTAATGGCGTAACGATTGGTGCATGTTCTCGCCACGTAACAAGTTGTACTGGGCCTTCTGGCGGAATATTTCTGCGGTAAGTTAGCTACAGAAAAATGAAAAAAATTTCGCGATTCACATCTAGTTTTTAAATTTTGCAATCGATTCCAGTTGGATTCCGATTTTAGTAATAAATTTCATATTGTTTCGAAATTCCACATAAATAGCGAAACATATTTTAAGCATTCGTGATAGCCAAGTCGTACTGTTAACTTCACGTGAACGTGGTTGCTTGTATTCCGCTCCATATGTAGATCGATATGGTGAAACTGATCCAGGATTCCGGTATTTTGTATATATATTGAGGAAATAATTTTTACACTGGATGCATTGTAAAACGACAGCTATAGATTGAGCAAGATATTGAATGATTCTAATTTTTGTTTTGAAAAATAAAGGAGTCTTACTCTGATGCATGTTTATGTTCGCTTATGCCTTGCTTTGCAGGCGTGGAAATCCTTTATATCTCAATCATGAGCTTTTCGCGAAATTAGAAAATCTTTGGATTACTCAGTCAGTTGCGGAAGAAGTGATCAACCAATATGAATTGGACCATCGTAATTTAGGATTCGAATGGGCTCATTTCTAGTAATGTGATTTTAATAGTTTATCTTTTTTTATATTTTGGATAAGAAAATGAGTTGTAGTTTTGCAAGTTATTTTTATTTTGTTGCTTGTTAAATCAAGCAAATTCTTAAAGTGATCGATTCATGAGTGTAAGTTCTTTTATTCTGGTATGAAGCAGTTCGCTCAGTTAGCGAATCATGGTGTAAGTGTAAGTTCTTCTGTTTATATTGTTAAAATTACTATTGAATTTTCGCTACATGTCGACGAATTTGTTTACAGAAGATTCCATTCCATAGAGAAAGCGACTGATATGAAAATATACGCTTGATATCTTTTTTTTACTGTTTTCATTGTAATACAATACTACATATTGAAATCCTTCGTTATATGATTCACTGATGAGAGCATGCCATAATGAGCACGGACGTAAATATTCTTTATCTGAATTGTGATGAATTTTTTGTAATATAAACCCATTATCGTTTTGGACCTTTATTCGCATTGAAACTCAATTTTAACGTTGTATTTTCGAAATATTTTTGAATTAAAATAGATAGATCATTAGTGCCTAAATTTTGTGGAATTTGTATTGTATTTAGAAAATATTTAGAACATTAACTCTATTATCTTGCTATCATTTCACTGCGTTTCATCGTTTGCTGTAGTTGTAATTATTTGGACGCAGCGTCTGCATGTTGGTATATTAATGTATCAAGAAATGACTAGACAAGTGAATGCAAAAGCTGGGAACGGATTAAATTTTGCCTTTTATGTAATTTTTATTGTTGTTTTAGTATAAGCTTGTAAATGTGATGCGTAATGTACTTTGTAGCTGCTTTTTGATCCATTTATATGTATGAAATGAGAAATCTGCTGCAACCAGTATACTGAATGTATGGTTAAAATTTCTATATAAGTCCAGAAGCATCCTTGTGTTTTTTCTTGTCTTCTATTCTGTATTTTAAAAAGTATATTTAAGGATCTTCAAAACGAATCTTACAAATTCACAAGGTTTGCAATGCGCTACTTTTCGGTAGGTCAATTGCAGTAAACTTTATATTTTTCTCTGCTACGTACTGGATTCGTATACCGATTCTCTAAGGAAATTTAGATGGATCAAAGCCTACTAAGACGTGTTTTGTAAAGGATGTAGTGTTTTGCACACTTCACGCTGTTATTCCCAATTACTTCTGGTCGAGTGATTGAGTTGTAAGATAAAGAGAAGCACAAGTGAATATAACTTACGAAATATATATATCTGCAGATAAATTGTGGCAATTTCTTGACATTTGAATTAAAATAGGTTTATGCTGTGTTAAGCAAAAACTAGTTCCTCAGCAAAATCACTAGCAAGAACTCAGTGTTTCATATTATACATTTGACTTGTTGCAACGTCTCAATATCTATAAATCCCTTGACAACGTAATAAGATTCAAATAATTAGACAAAATAGTTTAAGAAGTAAAAGTACTAAATGTATTTACATGATAATATAGCCCTAATTAGTCTAACTGCGTATCAAGTTGCATGAATTCATACTCAAGGTGATTCTAACATGCAATTCCTGCGCAGTACTTCAAATTTCAATATCTGATTTGATAAAATGAAACTATCCGATATGTACGAGTATGTTAGCTGTATAGCGAAACGAAATGAAAAATAGGATGAGGGATTTCTTTGAGAAAAATAATAGTCATATCTCTTTATGTCTCTAAATTCCTGGAATCCATTCCTCCATTACACCAACTTACATAGTTATCCATTTCATGAAAATTTTTGAGCACTACCATCCAAACCAACCCAGAGTGAAAAGCTTAATTAGTTACTGTTAATACAGCAACGATATTAATTGTGGGAAAGTGATTTGCCTATTTTGAAAATATAGAGGAATAACATAAAGCAGTATTAGACTAGTATGTGTGAGATTGATGGCGATCATAAAACGCTAGCTTCTGTTACAGTACTCGCTTCCAATGGTTTTTCAAGAAAAAGAAATTTCATCGTTTTTTCTATTCTCTCATCAGCAGTAGCTTTTGACAATGAATTACACCGTAAATTACGCATGCTTCTAGATCGAGTAAAGCATTCTGATGTCACTAATGGTGAGAACTTTTTTCCTGGCATATTAAGACTGAGTGCATCCAAAAGATCTGATGAGTTAGAAGGATTTTGATCTACTCTTGCGCCATCTGAAATATCTGGTAAATCAGCATCACAGATTGTTTTCAACTCTTGAAATTTTTTGATCAGTACAATTTCGAGACGAAATATTAGAAATTGTTTCGTTCAAAATTTGAGGATGGATTAGAAATAAGACTACCATTCTTTTTTTCATCTGAAAGCTGTAGAAATAATGCATTTTGATCGAATTAGTGACACTCCCACATCCTTTTAATTTCCGTCAATATACTTTCATCAGATTATCTTTCCATTATCTGGTTGCTGCATCACTTCTGATTGAATGTTTCATTGTAAGGCTTTTATGGCTAAATATTAATCGTGAGAGAGACTTACAAATGATTGTACTTCTTTCCTGCCGTACGGGTGTGCTTGGTGGCGTAAAAGGAATAGCTGAGCGAACCAGTATACCTTGAGCAAGGTTTCCTTGAAGAGAGGCAAATAAACCAGCATTTGAGAGTATCTTCCATGGTTTAAAAACCCGTGACAAACCGTTTGCAATCACTTGCTTTTGTTGACTGCCACAAGATATTGAAGTGTACTGTACTATACTACCCGTTTTGTGGCATTTTTCCAAAGTTCGGTAATTCTGGAGTAGAAATGACGATCATTAATTTCCTTTCATAGTAGTTACGCACGAGAAACATCAAGACATAAACACAAATGCGGTAACAATACTAATCTAAACTTTCGCAACAGAAAGGTAGACGTTATACCTTTTTTGAAGGTGTGGTGAAGAATGGTACATTCGAAGGCAGCAAACCGCGTTCACGCCGAAATTTTGCATATTCTTTTTCAACCTGTTACAAAGCAATTGCTTTAATTGTAAGATATTAACATTTACAACAGTATATCGTGAAATAAACTGAATCAGGTATACTTCTAAGCGTATGTTTAGCTTGCGGATTGACCAGTCTAAGTCGCGAGTACCAGGTCGTCCCGGTTCACCCATTTTCGGCCCTTCATAACCTGCCAGTGATTCAGTTGATGTTGTTTTACTAAGAGTAGTTGATGAAATTGAGCTATGCCCAGAGATTCGATTTAAATCACGCATAAGCCAACCAGGACAAGATGGAGAATTCGGGAGCTCTCGAAACTGCAACCATTACGAATACGAAATTAAATTGCAACAGCTTAGAGTACCAAGTATCGGATTATTGTCACAAATAAATACAAACTTCTTTGGTTGCCATATCACCCAAAACATTTTGCTGTTGTGACGTGCTTGTTCTTGCCGAATTTGAACTAAAATCAAAATGCTTTGCTACAGTTTCTGTAGTCAACGATAACTCTATATTATCTGAGTCATTACCACTGGTAGTGAAACTACCCTCTACACAGGTTGGAAAATTTGTTTGCCTCACTAGTCGAGGTCGTCGAAGAAGACTGGCAAGAACATGATTCGGTACATCCACAATCTGAAATATTACATTTGAGCAAATGGTAAAACAGTCATTACTGTCGTACTAGGTAGTGCGTTGAGATACAATCGGAAGTTAAAACTTATCTTTATGACTGGTAAATTATTGGTTGTAAATCATGTCATGATAACATTTATCGAACAACTGCATAAAAATAATTGCAAAATTCAGTATACAGAAGGAATTAAATTAAACTGATACATGTCACTGTTCAGTAGTTTCATTTTCAGCGAGATTATAATTAATTCAAATATTTTCAGACCTGTCTATGACTTCATCTCATGACTACAGTTTTTTGAAATAGAATCCTGAAGTTAAAATTAAATATTTCATACATAAATGTACGAAAAATTTGTAAGGAAATCATAGTTTTAAGAAATATTTACATATTTTAAAATACCAAACCTGCTCTTTTTAGTTCATTTCGCCTCAATCAGAAGCTATAATACCATTTTATGGACTAAAATTTTAACGGATTTTAAAAAAACCTACATCTTCAGTGCAATGTGAATTTTCTTCACAGTAATTCGGTAATGGATCAGTAGCAGTTGCGACTGAACGCGTCACAGTTTCAACAGATATAACTGCACCACCATCACCACCATTAGTACAAGATTTCATTGATGTCAATTGATACTGCAGTTCAGCTAAATCTTTCATATTCTTTTTTGATGATATTGATTTTTCGACTCTGGAAAGATAACAAAGAAATGTCAGCATAATTAAATAAGTAACATTACTAGATTATTCACTTCAAGTAACAATATTATTTAGATCACTAAGTTTAACTTAACTGAAATAATTTTGCACAGATAGAGAGAAAAATTGTAAAATATAAAAGATATACAACTTGGATGTGTTGCTAATTGTAGAATAAAAGCCACTATCCGATGCTTCAATTTCACTAGCCAAAGAATCGTAGAGCGAGTCGGCGCTGGTACTCCAGAAATGAATTATTTTTGTAAGTGGTAGCTAACTTAACTGAGTTTGCTTTAAATCAAATCAAATTGATGAAAACGATTAAAAATATCCAATTAATTCACTTCGCAGTTTGCTCTTTTGTTAATTAAAGCTTATTTTTTATGAAACAAAAATTAATTCTAATAAATCAAAAAATAAAAAAAGATATTCACGATGATTTTGTTACAAACTTCGAGAATTAGAAAATCAAGTTTCAAAACAAAACTGCAATGAAATAGTATAGAAAGATAAAAAGATATGCAAAAAGTGCATCTTTGTTCCCTAGTACTATTAAATGAATGTCAAATGAATGAGTAAATGTTTTCTTACCTATAAGCAGACTGAGTTTGTCTATATGTTTTAAGTTCTTCTTCGGCATCACGGAGCATTCCAGCTATTTCGGTATATCGTTCTTGCAGCTCTGATATTTGAGCTGTAAGTTCTTCATGCATTGTCAATGCACCTTCCAATTGCTGATTTAAATTATCATTTTCGCTCACCAACTAAATAAGCAACACTAAATGTTATAAAGTTTTATAACAAATATCAGGTTTGTATTAAATTTTTTTCATTAAATATTCCTTTTCATACTGGATTGGAATGCTGAAGAAATTATTCATTCCTACGAATAACGTTAGTGATGATTAGTGTATACAGGCATTCATTTGTTACTGCGCGAATTTTTAATGTGATAAGAAGCAATTTGTTGTTGTTCTTAAATAAAAGAAAAGAAACGATGGATTATCTACAAAGTCTGAAGAACCAAAAATTCAGTTAATTAAATCACTGATCACTTTTCAATCGCTTTTTCGAATCAAATTATGATTCGTAATGTTTTTGAATTACTATGCGAAAAATGAAATATGTGAAGAACTGAGCAAATTATAACCGTTAATCACTAATTTCGAGTAAACTTTATCGACTTTCAGTAAAATAAAAATTTAATTTTTCAGAAGTACCGTTTTTTCATGACTTGACCTAGCAGCAACTTCCTTCAGAAGTCTTTCAACCTCAAAACTTTGAATTCTACACTCTTCGATCTTCTCTGCAAGGGACTGTTGTAATCGATTGATCTGGAGGTAAAAAACTGATAGTAATAAGAAAATACTTGCTTATCATTCATGAATATTTTAAATAATTCACTGTTCAAATAAGTATAACATCCTCTAAGTTGAGTGAGTCGTTATTTGCCTAATATCTCCGAAGATTTTAACGAGCGATTCACTGATGTTGAAAAACTTTATTCTTACCAAAACGAAGTGCTTTAAAATTGGATTCTGAATAAATAATGATATGTTATGCAATACTTTTCCTTACCCCAGCTCTTTCACAAAACAAAACCTGAACAAGTGCACAAAATGACAGTACATATCGTTCCTATAATTGTACAGAAATTGATTAGCAGTCAAGTATTTCAAAAAATGAAATGAAAGCTCACTCAACATTATTCTCAAAAACCATAACAACTTATTTAAAGTAGGTAAATATCATTCTCAAGCAAATGCTGAATGTTTTCTGTCAGTGACATTAAATAAGTTAACGAATTTAGTCCTTCATATATTTCAGTTAATGCAGTAATGAATAAATATGCAGTAACAGAGAGAGAATTAGGTAGAGTAATTGTAAGTTGCTAAAAATGAGTATTTCGTAACAGATAGTATATTAATAATTGCTAACGGCTATTAATATCTTAAATATTAGTTGACCCTACCACGTAAACAAAAGCTCGCAAAGCTTTTTCGATCAAGACTGATCAGTTTGTTTCAATTAGCGAAGAATGAGCATTACGCAACAAGAATTTTGATGAAGATTAATTAGTAAGAAGAAATAATCACACCTTATCATTCGCTGAATCTAACTGTTTGTTCCACTCCGAAATGTTCAACCGTTCTTTTTCTTCCAATTCCACAAAATTTTTTTTCAAATTTGTTGCCTACAAAAACAAAAATACATAATAATTTGTTCGAGATGAGTGAGACACACTAATTGATCTACCAGTCTAAATCACTTCAAATACATTAGGATTTACTAATGTTAATTTGTCACTTTTTGTCTCCAACTCATAAAAAACGAGAACATTCGATCATCTCTCGCTCACCTCACATCTCAAGCGTTCATTTTCATTTTCAAGTCTTCGCATTCTACGCTGAATATTTTCGTTATTGGAATGACTGCAAGTATTCTGCTTTAATTTGAAGGCAATTTATCAAGATGGAAGCTTAGATTAAACAAAATATTACTCATTACCATCAGTTTTCTAACAGCAACAGTGTTTCATATTTTCGTGCCTACTTTTACAAATGTGGTAATCAGAAATCAGAACTTTTCATAATCTTAATCTATATCTTTTTGTTCCACAAGATCACTGACTAAATGAGACCACTAATTAACTAATCCTAATCGAATCCTTAAACTGAAGTTTTAGCGAGATTAGAATAGGAATAGCGGGTGGTGGAAGTTTATCAAATGAAAGAATTGTTACTATCAGTTAGTCAAAAAATTATGACTGATACAATTATTTTTCAGTTGTGAATAATACATGAAGTTTAAAAATAATTATTAAAATGCTTTCACGATATTTACGATAAAAATTGTAATTTTACGAAAACCGAGAAATAGCTCTCTACATTTCATGAACAAATATTGAATAACCTGTTCTAATGGTTTTTTTTATTACTAGTATCGAGACTCGAAAATAAATGAGGAAATACTTAGATTTTATAGTTTATACCAAATATAATCGGTACTGCTTCGATTTCAAATTTTATTTGCCAGAAATCGAAAAAAATTAGAACTGACCGCGATGTACATGGTTCCCAATCATTATCATTTTCGGCATACATATGCAGTAAATTAGCCCGTATCTGCAGTTCATGTCGAAGTTGCACTACTGTATCATTAGAAACAAGCAGAGCTTCTTCCAAAAATTCATTCCTAAGTACTATTTATTAGTCATCACTGATAAGCAAATCATTCTATTCTGATTGAACAACAGCAAGACAATTCTTTTATTTGTTATGGAAAACATCTAACAAATGAATTATATCCTTTTCAAACACTAATTACGTCGCAATCAATAGAAATTTCCAAAATAACAGATGAAGGCTGATTACCTTCGAATCACTTACCTTGTCTGAAGTTCATGATTTCGTTCAAGTAATGAATGCCCAATTTCGGCTGCTAATTGGAGATCCCTCTCTTTCTGTAACAGTTATTTACATCAACATGTGTCATAACAATCTCTCTTCCCCTTTCTGTCCAGTACATTTATAAGCATTTTGATCTTATTGCTTTTGCTCAAGTTATTGATAATGATGGTCATGATAGGGATAGCTCTGTTGACAGCTCTCAATCTTCATTTTCACTGTTAGCAAAAATTCAAATTATGTGCAGTCCAATAAATGGCAAAAGTATTAATACACAAGCTGTGTTGATTACGCAATTAGAAACTGAAAAAATTAGGATCAAATAAAAAAGTGCGCACAACTTGAAATCAAGTGATTTCTTACAAATCTGATTACTACAATAATGAAATAAAATTATGACAACGATGAATGACTATTCGAATTTTTACATTTACTTTAATGATAATGCTAATATATATGCCAAATCATACAACTGTTATAGTGATAACATTACGCTAATCATACTTTCAGTTATTGTTGCAAGAACTGCAGCTACTGATATCAAAAAAGAGATTGCTCAGCATAATTCATATTTCATGATAGAAAATTTTCTGAATTGTTAGTTACAAGAAATTCAAATAAGACTGTACATAGAGTATTAACACCTCAGTTAATACTCTGTGTACAGTCTTATCTGAATAACAGTTGAAGCTAAATTAGAAAGCGTTATTTGATCAGTCAATACTGCACTTTATACCACTAATATTTTCTGCATTTTTCAAAATATCATTCTGCGGTTGAAAATGTCATCAGCAAACAATAGTTAAAGCTGTCGACAAAATTTTTACAGTTCAAAAATAAAGCTCAAAAAGCTGATGCGATCATCTTTCCAACATCTCTTACATTATAAGACCATGTTAAACGATCAGTATTATCGAAATATGTTAGCACAGACACTGCTTAAGCGAAGGAATATATTGCACAGAACGCTAAAACTTTTGTTCGAAATGCATTTTCTGGTCCAGATAAAAGACTCAATTTTCCCTCTTTTTCATCGACGAAATAATCAGATGTACAGAATAGCTGTCCTCTATCACTTCTCAGTCAAATGCCTGCACAATACTCAATGCTATTCGAAAACATTGTATACAAATTTTTGCTAATCGTGGAACAGCCAGCAACTCAAACCAAGTACGCCTTCTTCTTCTTTCGAGAGTGTTGCTGAATGGCGTTTATATTTATTTACCTGTCTTTATTTATTTCTCATGCTTTCAAATTAATACTTTCCTATCTTTGTCAATCACTATCAGACCGCAAATTACTAAGCAAGGTGTTTAAAATGAAATGAAAATTGTTTTTAAAAATATCATTTTATGGTTAAAAATGTCAAATGTCTGTTAGTTATATTTGTCATCTCAAAACACATAGAACATACAAACTCATTCATGTCTATTAGCATTTAGCACTGCATATTACGCAAAAAAGAACTTCCCTTTGTTAGTAATTTTCGTTATTTTGCAAACAGTCATTTATGCACAGTCCTGCAGTGCACAAATTCATTTGAAAATTACTATTACCTGGAAACACTTTAATGAAATGAAAAAAAATGATTAACAGCTTGAATACTGACTCACCGGTAATAATGCCATAGATTTCTGACAGTAGAAAAGCTTAAATGCAACAGAATTAAAAAGTAGTCTATCAACACGATATGAGTAAAGATTTATATTAATTTACATCAAGTTGCTAATGTAACAGCACATATTCAAGTATATTCTAGAGAAAAATAATAAATTTTAAATTCATGTCGAAATTGATTTCTTTGAGATCTGAGTATACGATTTTTAGCTTCGGATGTTTGTATTCAAAAGGGCGAAATATTATTGAAAAAGAAAAATGATATTCTAAGATTTCAGACAAAATTGGAAAGTGATAATAGCTTCATTTCAAGTAATTAAAAACATGCTATATTGCTAGATATTTTTTATTATTTATTATATTGTTATCATTATTACACTACTAAATATAACTATTACTATTATTACATAGTTATAATTGGTGTCGCCATTACGATGCCAATTCTTATTATCACTATTAATATCATTGTTGCTACTACTTCAGTTTTCCAGTAATAGCGATGAGGCTAATAACAGATCGGTAAAGACAGTAATACTACTATCTTGATGAATGCCGTTATTAGCCTCATCGCTATCACCAGCAACATTATCATATTAATACTACTTTCCCTACGATTTCAGAATGAATACTACCTTTTCCATCAGTACTATCAATATCACTTTTTGAGTATTTTCCTACTTTGATGCAAGACTTTGAAAAAATAAATCTTTTTTTTTGTTTACTTAAAACTACTGTCATCATTTAATTACTACACCCATTCAGTATTCAAGTATTCAATTTAATTTTGAAAGAAGTTCTCCCAAGTAGTGCGGCAAACGAGACGAGACACTGAGATAATAAATCGGTTCTGACAAGAGAGGTAAAAAATGTCTTTCAAAAATTTTTATTCGATAGCAATTTTTTATTGCTACTCAACTTTGCTGCACAGTACTTTTTTGCTCATTTACCGGACTGCGATGGATAGATGAATGACCTCGTGCAGAGTATTCCCATTTATTTATTCTAATTCCACTCTCAAAATAAAAAGTAAAGTGTACCATTTCTTCATTAAAAACAAACCAAATGTAATTTTGAAAACATCACTCAATTAAATGTTGATCATAGTCATTCATAGTAACTATTCTTCAAAGTTGCAAAGGTTAAATAAAAAATCCAATATTCATGAACTTTTCAGTCGAAATGTAGACAAACTAGTATTCAAATCATAATTACATTTGTTTTTTATGAAGAAATGATACACAAGACTTTTGAAATCTTCAGGTTATTCTATACATCTCAATAATTCTTGATATTATGGAACTTCCTTAAAGACCGATGGATTTAAATACTGAATAAATTTTTCTCATAATAAATACATTTTTAGCAAACTCCTTTTAAAAATTTTTGAATTCAACAATTTCAATTGTTAAAATAAATCACCTGCATGAAAGCTTGATTTCGATAAAAGTATACTGCTTTTATTATATTGCTAACTGAACAAACGACACACGTAAGCAAACACTAATATTAATCAAAATGGAATAGTACTTGGAGCACATTTATATGCATCAATTTCTAAGTTTTCATAATAGGGTTACGATATTTATTATATAACAGTCATTACTCATATTTTCACTTCGAATCGAAAATTGTCGTATTTTGTTTAGAATTAAATCGCAAATAAAATAAACTAATATTTCCCAATAGTTCTAAACAAAACTATTTCTTAAGTCTTTTCGTAAATCTAATTTAAACATCACCAGAATAAACAAAATACGACAATTTTCAATTTAAAAACGTAATATCTTAGTTTTGTCTACACATATGCTACGCAAATGCATCAAATATTACGTTCCCCATATGGCATCTGGGTTTTCACATAAACTAATAAGAACTGATACTTCTTAATATTACGATTTAAGTTAACTTCTTTCAAGCATATTTCTAATGAAATTATCTTTCTCAGTTAAAATCGTTTAATATTCATGAAAATTTTAGATCAATAAATAACACTGTGAAAAACCGAAAAAAATACATTTCAAGATGAATGATAATTTATCAGATATCAACAAGTTCTTTCCAACAGTAGGAGTATGTAATAATTTTGATTATTTAAATGTATTGCTGCTTCAAAGAGCAATTTAATTTTAACTGGATCGCATAGTTTAATTAAGTGTTCGACTTAATTTGAATAATTTTTTTTGTTGAAAATCTGATCTATATTTAAGGTCCACTTTTCATGTACACATATAGTCATAGTTGAAAGAAAGAGAATAAGCAACAATCTTAGTTACTCTAAATAATAACTTAAACTATTTTTTGGACAAATATTCCTATTACCACTTACCTTCACCTATCTTATTTTTTTTTTAAATCATTTTTTCTTTAAATGACTGTGTGACAAAACAGGTATTTGAATTAAATTCTTTAACTAGAAATACTCATTATCTGGTATACAATTATCACTAAAACAGTTTATTACCTTGCCTTTAAAAATAATGGTAATCGCATACTTTTCCAAAGTATGAATTCAGTGTCGTACCAAACTGTTTTACTTTTAAATACGTAACATTCTCATATTTTGACCATAATTAATGCGCCAGTATTTTAGTCTGCTGCTTTAAATTATTTCTGAATTAGAAATTAAACAGTTTCCCACCAAATTTCTGATATTCCAAGCATTCTCCCTCTTATGATAATAGCTTTTGACAGATTTTTTGTCTACAGTTTTATTGGAAGCAGTAAAGAGATTCTGATTTTTTAAAGCAAATTTTTCGGAAAACAAATTAATTCGGTGAAAAAATAAAGGAAAAACTAACTTCAGCTAATTGCTCCATCGCATTCCATGTATTCGTAGTATTAAAATAATTAATACCAAGTCTACCATTAATGTTAAAATCAGTATGGTTTTGCAGCGGATATGAGCAGCTTGATGAACGGCTCATTCGACATCCGCTGCCGCAAGCGCAGACTTCTATAAAATATGAATAACTGATAACCGAAATTCTCATTATCAATACATATGCAAATTCATGAGACGATTTTTTCGCTTACTGGAATTTCAAAAAAAAAGAAAAAAATAATTGCAGAGATAGATATGAAAAGCTATGTATTGAATTTCCATGCTAATAAATCTTTTTTCCTTAACAGTAATAATAGATGAAGTATAAATAAATATGGCATTCATTAACAACTGCAATTTCCGGACATATCCGAAAGTTGTTTTCGCTACTGTTTTAAGTACTGTTACCACCAATAATGAATCAATAGTGCAAATATCCTTTATAAAATATTTCAATTTTAAAACGAAAATTTATGATATATTATAGCAAAGTCGTGCTTGATTAATACGTTACAAAATTCAATAAAGTGATTAAGTAACATTCTCAGGTGTATGTAATGCTAATCCAAGTAAATAAGTTTTGAATTAATATCAGGAAGTTATTTATTAATAGTCCGGCATACTGATTCCTGCAATTATATTAAGTGTTTTATCTGAAACGAAAGAAATATTTGACCACATTT